AGGACTGCTTGAGCCCAGGAATTTGAGGTCAGCCTGTGTAAGACTGAGACCTTGTCTCAAAAACAAAAACAATAGAAAGGGAAGGAAGAAATATAATTGTCACTGCAATAGCATGAAGAGGTTGGGCCTTTAAAAAGTGATAAGGTTCCGTCAAGACCATGTAGCCTGAAGGCCTTTGCAGGAAGCAGCCAGTCAATCCTGGATTTGCCAGCCTTGAGGACTGTGAGCTGGCAATATTCCATGCCTCCTGAAAAACCTGGCCTGTGGTCTTCTGTTAGGGAAACAAAAAACAGACTAGGGAGGGACACAGAGGCAACATCAGAGAATACTCTGTCATTCACCATCCTGCAAGGTGACCGACCAGCTTAAACCCTGCTTCACGCTGTTCGGTGAAGCAGTGGTCCCTTCCCATTCCATATCTTTGTCCCCACTCTGATGCAGCCGCTCTTCTGGAAAGACTCATATTGATCACGCCCAGTGTCAGGTGAGGAGATGGGAGCCAGGAGCACAAGACCATCTGCTCAGTATCAGCCCAGCGGAAACTGCACAGCTGGTCCCTGGGCCACAGGGACACTGCTATAGGACAAGAATGGTACATGCTGGTTCTATCATATGTAGCACAAGATCCTGGTGACAAATGGATGAGTTTCTCTCTGGCACATGCCATCCTCCTGCTCACTTGGCAAGAAGCAGGCCTTGACACCTGTGCCCAGAAATGCTGATCCTGGATCGGTTCTCTGCCTAAGCTCCTTCTTAAGGCTGTGGCACCTGTCACCTCTATCAAGCAGGGAATAACTGCAACCTCTCTGGCCTCCTAGAGTGCCCACGATGATCTGGTAAACTGAGCCAACAGGCAATTCCATGAGGACATGGTGATGAGCCCTATGCACAATACAAGTCTCAGCACCAGTCTTTGGTGACACTGCTTAACTTCCAGGCAAGTGACCAGGAGCAGAGGTTATGGAATCAGATACTCCGATCCCTACTTGCAGCTGGGCTGGTATCCAACTGCCTAAGCCTCAGGTGTCCCCTGGTCAAACAGGAAGGACAATATGAGCTTCTATTTTGCTGTTTTTAGATGCTACTATCCACCCAACATTGTTAAAAGGTCTGGTGTCCGGGTGGTGCTCCTGGGAGTAGAGAGCCTTTGGGAGGTCCTATGGTTAATGGGGCATGGTCACCCCTTGCACAGACCTGTAGGTCACTAGAAGTCTTACTTCAAGGGAGATTTTGGGGACCACAGCTTCTTCCTTGCTTCTCATCCCGGGTCATGATGTTAGTTCTTCACATAACCCCGCCCCTGCCATAAGTGCTGCTTTTGACAGGGGCCCAGAGCAAAGCGGCTGCCAGCACTGGGAGAGGAGGCTCTAGGACTGAACTATATACTCCTTTTATCTCAGTAAGTCTCTACTCAGGGACTGTACAGTAGTGTGGGGAAGCTGACAGGCATATGTGCTTGCAGTGAGGACAGACTGAGATGAGAGCCCATGACTGCAGAAGCGCACCTGGACACACAGGCTCCACATGCTGGTGCCCTCCCTCTTGCGGAAGGGTGCATGACCAGAGGGTGGTCTGACTGTCACTGTTCCATGAGCCATACTGAGATGGCTCTTGCACACCTTTTTGTACTCTGCAGGACTCCTCACCCATGAAAAGTTCCCCTTCAGTCCCTCTGACTAGAGGGGCAAACCCAAGAGCTAACCAACTCCCTCTGTGGAAGCAACTGACTTTTGGGGAGCAAAAGAGAAGTTCAGTCTTCACCCTGTGGGGCTGGGCTCAGTGAGTGTGTGTTTCTAAGAGGCGGGATACTGTCAGAGTGAATGGGGAAGACAGGCTGGGAAAAGAGAGGGTATGGCCATGGATCCAGTAAGAAGGGATGGTGGGGAGAGCACAACCCATGCAGCCCTCCTGCCTCTGCTGCCCTGCCCTCACAGCTTCTCAGGTGTGTGAGGCAAAGGTGAGCAAACATGTTGTATGCATCTGTAGAGACCCCAGAGGTCACAGCTCAGGTTTAATGCATGAAGAGTGGAGATTCTTGTCACCAGAGACCCAGAGAGATCTGGAGGAGGAGGAGGAACATGGATATGAGCTCAGCAGGGCTTGTGGCCCAGGTGGAAGGTCGTATCATCACCTGGATCTCTGGACCACAAAGCATGAGCTCAGAGAGGACCTGAGAGCTTAGGACTGTGCAGTGCCAGGTAGAAGGGCCGTTCCTTCCCAGTGACCAGGGGACAGGTATATCTGTGTGTGTGGTGGCAGTCTCACTCCACACACCAAAACAAGGTATGGCTACATTAAAGTTATTTGATTAAGCTGAAAAGAAATAGAAGAAAGGGCTGGGGACATAGGCCAGTGGTACAAGTGCCTGCTTGGCAAGCACAAGGTCCTAAGTTAGATTCCTCGTACCAAAATAAATAAATAACATTTAAGAAAAAAATGGAAGGAAGCCAGGTGGGATGGTATATACTTTCAGTCCCGACACTCAGGGAGGCTGAAGCAGGAGGATTAGAAATTCAAATCCAGCCTGGACAATTTAAAAATTTAGCAAGACCCTGTCTCAAAATATAACTAATTAATTAACTAAAAGGAATAAAGATGTAGCTCAGTGCAAAGGTCTCGGATTTAACCTGCACACGAAGAGTAGAAGGAATAAAGAAGCATATATTTGAGCACAAAGTTTTCCAAACATAAAGGAAAGAAACACACATATAACATTTAAATCCATTTCAAAGAAACAAGTGTTTAGCTTAAAAATATCTAATTTCTAGATGTTAAAAATTACTATAATGAAAATATAATAAACAGTTGGCAAACTGGAAAAATGTTTTCTATATATGTCAGAGTAAAATAGGTCTCCTTTTCATGTGAAGATTTGTACAATGATCAGAAGACAATAAAGTCTCAGTGGGAAAAAGCAGAAAAGAACGGCTCCCCTCCGCAGAGCACTGTGTGCCGCGTGCTGCCAAGGGCTGGAGACTCCCTGCTCCACAGGGAGGTCTCGCTGTTACCCCTCGCTGGGGGAAAGCTGAGGCTGAGAAGCAATCACTTGCACGAATCACACTACACATCAGGTGGCAGCACTGGAACTGGAGGCTGCCTGAAGGCACAGCCTCTCCTTGTTACACGGTGCTTCAAATCAAAAGAATTAACTAGAAATGGTCATTTCATAGATATCTAAGACGCATAGAGAAGATACTCACTATATATGAGATAGACTATACAGAGAGTATAATAGAGACTAGAACAGCCAAAGAGGGTGTGCCCTATGCAGACAGCTCCATGTGCCCTCCACACCTCTCTGCCTACAGCTGATCCTGCAGATGGCACCACAGGGCCCCTCCAGGGACACGGAGCAAGGGTGCACAATGAGGACCTTGCAGAGAAGACCCTGGTGGGCATGAGCAGGTCTCCTGCTCCAGGGCCACCTCTCTGTCCCGTTGCGTGGCGTTCACTTCCCTGTGGCCAGGTTCCGCCTGCATCCTACCAACCTCTGGGAGTCACCGTATAGAACCCTGTGCAAGATCTCATTTGTTTTCTGTGGCCTTTTGGAGGAGAGCTGACATCTTTTGACCTAGCAGTTGTATTCTAGAAATGCATCCTATGGAAACAGGAAAGTGTAAAAAGGTATAAGAGGATTTGCAGCAGCATTAAACCTAGAAAGATTGCAGGATTAAACAACAGGGAAGGGGTGTAACACAGCTGATGGCCCACATGACCAAACACTGTGTAGCTGTAGCCAGGTGACGGAAGGAACTTCATGGCATGGAAATACATTTTGAATGAAAATATCCTGCACAATTTCAGCTTTGCATGTAATAGTGACTAGAAGCACTGATCCTAAACCAAAAGTAGCAATTATCTTCCAGTCATCAAATTATGGGTGGTTTTTATTTTCTTGTTCATATTACCTTTGTACTTTTCAGATTTTCTACAATGATCATGTGTTTTTATTGTAATTAGAGGAAATAAATCTAGTATGATGTATTTAAATCTAGTATGAAGTATTTAAAACATGAACACTTCTGTGACCACGGCACTTGGAAGACCGAAGCAGAAGGATTGTTGCAAGTTTCGAAGCCAGCCTGGGCTACATAGCAATACTGTCTCAAAAAATCAAAATAAACAAACAAATCAGTAAATAGTCATTTCTAACTCTGCATACATAGTGGAACCTGGCCCTGAGAAACGGCCCCAAGAAATGGCCCCACTGGCCAAGGATACCACACAACCATGGTGGTCAGAGGCTCTATTACTGTGCTCTACACATATGTCACCAGCCCCGGGCTGTATGACCAGCCTAGTACCCTAGTCCCAGGCTTTGGGACCAAATGAACACCAGCTCTTTGGGACCAAATGCATACCTGGTGAGTGACCAGGGCTAGACAGACCCAGGGACAAGGATCAGTCAACCCCGTGAAAGCACCAAGGGAGCCCTGAGGGACAACATAAGACATGAGGGAAACTCTAACCTAAATCTAGTCATATATGGACAACTGAGTGGCTGTGTGAGCTTAGGCAAGCTTTTAACCTCTCTGGGCTTCAGTTTTCTCATCTCTAAAATGGGAATACAATTACTTATCTCTCATATCATGAACATTCTAATAAATTAAATGAGTGCAAACTGGGCATGATGGTGCATGCTTATAATCTAAGCACTCAGGTGGCTGAGGCAGGAGGATCACTGTGAGTTTGAGTTTGAAGCCAGCCTGGACTACATAATGAGTTCAAGGCCAGCCTGAATTACAAGTAAAGCCCTGTTTCAAAACACAAAACAAAACAAGAGTACGGAACAGAGCTCATTAAACAACACTTAATGTCAAAGAGCCCCTCTGGTAGTTTCAGAAACTTGCTTTGCCATAGAGGAGGACAGCAGTGTGGTAGAAACAGGGAGAGGAGGATTCTGTTCTGGTGCATATAGCCTGGTGCCCTAGCCCTCTTGCCTGCCTCCTTCTCTGTTGGCCATCCGTGTCACCGGGGGTGACAGTGGGGAGCAGCACTACCTGCAGTGGGTCCCAGGTCCAGGCTGGACTCATTCAGTTCTTCCTCCTCCTCCCAGAAGTACTGAGGCGGCTGTAGGATGTGGGACTCCTCACTTTCTTCACTGGGGAAGCCAGAGCCAGGTGCGCCCAGGCCAGCCCCCAGGCCCATGGCCTCACTGGGCTCCTCTGCATCCAGAGGCTCCAGGCTGGTGGGCAACAGGAAGTCCAGCAGGGAGGTGGAGGTGAGGCCCTCAGGACCCGGCTCATCTGTCGCCACTGCACACACACTCAAGGACACTGCTGCATAGACAGAAAAGGCAATGTTAGAGAGGCAGGGAAGGTCAAGAATGCCTGTGGGTAGGGCACAGACCCACCACAGAAAGCCACTTAAAGGGACCTGACAGCTACCTCGGGCCCCCCAGAGGGGGCAAGAACAAAGGCTTTCTGCAGCAGTACTCAGGAAGAACAAGGAAGCCGGCAGGGGCAGCAAGGATCGAAGGACCTGGCTTCCCATCTGGAACCGCTGAGTGCCCAGCCCGCTTTGCTAGCAGCCATGACAGGCAGGGGCACAAACACAAGCCATGGCAGGGTCCCAGGGCTTCTGAACATACTCTAAAACACCGCCTGAGGTCCTAGGTGCTACCTCTCCTGTGTTGGTAAGCTGACAGGGTAGCCAGAATCTTAGGTCCTCTCTCCTGCTTTATCCAAAACAAATGAACAAAACACATTTCTTATTTGTTATGAACAGGAAAACAGCACTCTTGGCCAATTCCACAATGTAACTATGATTTTTGTTCTAGGTCTCTCGAACATGGCTCAGGACTCCAGTCTTAGTCTCCTCCCTGGGAATGTGGGGACTCAGGAGAGAAGGACCCGCAGACCCTTACCAGAACTAACACCCTCCATGAGTAGGAAAAGGATCTAGGAGCCCCCTCTGCTCTTGCTGGGTGAGCAAGGACCTGGCTCGATTGTAACACATGGAGAGTTTGGCGATGTTCACAGTGAAAGTGAACTAGAATGTTATCAGTGCCATGCTGAGTGCTTCACCAGCGTTCTCTGATTGCTCATCTCTACAGCCACACCATAAGGTAGCAGGCCCTTTGGTTGGCAGTGCCCAGAGAGCATCAGCCCCAGAGGACATGAGGGTGATGCAGACTTGTCACACGCATTGGAGTGTGGGCCTGGCATCCAACACAGGACCGAGAACTAAGCCCAGCCTCGAGGGGTCTCCTGGGGCAGTGCTGATGGGGAGGAAGAAGCATCCATGAGAGCTGAAGATGAGGATCTTCAGGTAGAGGGGACTTGGCGCTAGGAGCACATGGTTTACAATTGGAACCTGGACTTCTGTAGCTGAACACAGTGCCAAGAACTCCACATTTCAGCCTAATATCCTCATCTGGCAATCAGGGACAGTTGTTCCTATAGCCTCCACCCAGCCCAGACAAAAGCACAGAATGAGGTAACCCCAGGCAATGTGTGCCAGCTGCTCTATGAAGAGGTCCATAGCCAGTGTTCTGAAAACACTAGAATTATTACTCTGTATAAAGAATAGAAACTGGGAGTAGTGTGTACAACTATAATCCCAGCTACTCAGGAGGCTAAGGCAGGAGGATCATGAGTTCAAGGCCAACCTGGGCAATTTAGAGAGACTCTAAATTAAACAGAAAAATACAAATAAAAAGGGCTAGAGGTGTAGCTCAGTGGTAAATGCAACCTGGGTTTCATCTTCCATACCACTGAACCAGAAAAAACCAAAAACAACAAAATCCAACAGCACAGGGCTGGGAAGCCCTTGGCCTGGAAGATGACATCTAATAGAGATAACACAGTAACCAGAAGTGCTTTGAGTAATCAGCTGCTGCTATTCCATGTGGCTTCAGAGTGGACACCAGGACTCCCAAGTGCAAACACAGGAAGACAACAGCTGTGGCCACCTCCAGCTCTGACTCGGTGCATATCTGTGTCCCCAGAAGGCAACCCACAGGCCCTGCCCTGTGTTCCAGCAAGGCCAGCCTGGAGGTAGGGCTGAAGGTATGGCTGGGTGACAACTGCTCCAGGAGAGCCTCTGCTGACTCCTTGCCACATCCCTCCCAGAATGTCTCCATGCTGCTTCCAGGTGGCCCCGGCTCCAAGAAGTTCAGGCCAACCTCTGTCCAAGTCACTGATTCAGATAGGAACAGATATCTGTTACCTGTGTTCCTTAAAGCCAAGGTACTAGGAAGCCAGAGAAAGACAGGTCATCAATTTGGGGACCCCACCCTGACGGCCTTCTTGCTCCCCAGTGGGGATAAGTCAAGGATCCTGGATTCTGCCCAGCTCAGGTCTCCCTGAGACCCTTTTGCTCACACTCTTTTTCTTGTCATGGGGACCTTGGGCTGCTCTCACTGGGGTTGCTTGAGCCCTGTCACTGTCAGAGAAAGTACTGTCTACGCCCTAGAGGGTGGCTGGGAAGAAATCGGATTACCACCTTCCTATCCTTTTTCCCAGAGACCATTCAGTGGCCTCCAGCACAGACATCTTTCCAACATGACCCAGTGGCTCCTTCCATCAAACTCTGCATCCCTTTCTTGAATCTTAGACACCTGCATGAGCCACAGTAGCTGAGAATGCAGGAGACGCAGAGCTGTGCTTCTCCAAGGCCTGGCCTTGTGTGCCCTCCTTTATTTAAAGACCCCTGGACTAGCCCAACCAGATTGACCTGCTGTAAGACAGGAGCCCACCCAGAGGACAGCCATACCACACATCAGCTCAAGTGCCAGCCAAGGTCCCAACAACATAGGGGCAGCAGAACAAGCAGCAGGACCACAGCTGATATCACACCTAAGGATCCAGCTGAGACCAGCAGAACCCAGCTAGCAGGGTCATGCGCTAAATGAATGACTGTTCTAAGCCAGCTCTTGGTGAGCTTGGCCCTCCTGGGTCACAGGGGGTTTTGTTAAAACAGTGATAATTCAAGATAATATGTAACCTATTAACTGGTGATTTCTTACTGTATATTTTTTTCTTGAAATACTGTATTATTTGTACCCCTTTACTGCTTTGTTTTTTATGTCCTTTCTTTTTTTCTCTTTAAATAAAAAAAAAAAAACAGTGATAACTCAGCTTGATGGCACATACTTGTGATCCCAGTACTCAAGAAGATGAGGCAAGAGGATCATCATGAGTTCAAGGCCAGCCTGGGCTACAGAGTAAGACTCTATTAGAAAAAAGAAATGAGGGGGCTGGGGATTTAGCTCAGCAACATAAGTGCCTGCCTTGCAAGCAGGCAGTCGTGAGTTCGATCCCTGGTACCAATAAAAAGGAAAAAGACAAAAAAGAAAAAAAAAAGAAAAGAGACTAATACTCAGAGTAGTTAGCTTCACCCCAGAGCTTTGCATTCAGTTGGTCTGTGACAAGCGCCAAGAAATTGCGTTTCTAGCAAGACTCCAGGTGACACTTGAGTTCTGGGATCACATCTGGAGAATCACTGTTTCAAGTGGTTAAATTTGAGGGTCATTGGTCACACAGAAGTAGCCAGATGATACACTGAAAAAAATTAAAATGGAGTAGGGTGTAAGTGGTAAAATTCTGTTCATTCGTTTATTCATTCATTTACCCCAGAAGCCCAGAAATAAATAAAGTGATAATTCCTCTGCCCTAAAAAGATTCTGTTTCTAGTAGAGAGATCAGCAAGAAAACAAATCATAATGGGATAGTAGATGTGACTCTGCTGGGGCCACGGACACAAAGGCACAGAGGAACAGAAAGACAGATCTAGTACATAGCATAGTGACAGAACTACTGACAGCACCACGCTGAATGTGCTCAGGCTGCTGCAAACGAGAGGGGAGGAGATATGAAGAACAACGATGCTGGGAGGTACAATGCCTGCTGGAACTCGGCACACAGGACCAGGTACAGTAATGCTGCTCAAGGGCCATGCCCTGCTAGTGCCCTAACACCCTATGACCTGCACTAATGAGAAGCCTCAGGGACGCGTGGACTTAAGGGGGCTTTGGGGAAGCACAGTCTGAACAGTTCTTAACAATCCTAATCCAGCTTTCTGCCACATCGCCCTCTAGAGCACTGCTGCTCAGGTTGAAATGGACATAGGGCTGACTGTGGTGGTGGCACATGCCTGTAATCCCAGCATGCAGGAGACTGAAGCAGGAGGACTGCCAAGAGTTGAGACCAGCCTGGGTCACATAGTGAGACTCTGTCTCAGAAAAAAAAAAAAAAAGACAAAGAAAAGAAGAAAGAGGGAGAGGGAGAGACAGAGGGGGGGGGGCATCCAAATCAGCTAAGGATCTTGATTTAGTCTCCAGGCATGCCCAGAAGTGCTCTTGCTGGTCTGCACAGGCTAGGACTGCACTTTGAGCTAAGAAAGCTCAGAGCAACTTCTAAAATGCGAATTTAGTGCTCCTGTCCCATTCTTTAAATGGCGGTGGAGGCATTTCACAACCTGACATCGCCACCCTCTCCACAGTTACACACCACTCTGGTTCACATCTAGCACTCCCCAAGTTTCCGAGGACTGACATCCCCTTTGCCTTCTGGGTCCCACATTCCCTCCTCACATGCCCCTGCCCCTCCCACCTGTCTAATTCTTCCTCTGGCTATAAGATAGGCAAGGAACCCCTTGCTTGTCCTCTCCCAGCCAATCCTATCACCCTCTCAGTCATGGGAGCACACATTCCTCCCAGTCCTTGGCACATCAGCCTGGTCATTCTGTGCCAGGCACAGTCCCTGATACATGCTAGAGGCTTAACAGTGGTTTGAGTAAATAAATAAGCCAGTGCAACCCTCTTATTTTACAAACAAAATAACTTTTTTTTTTTGAGGCCTCGTAGGATTAAGGTCAAACAGCTAGTTAACAGCAGACTGTCATTAGCTGGTTTCTTCCCACAGGAGGTCTTGCAAGGGTTACACATGAAAGAGTGGGAAGCACTGAGGGGCTAGCTGGGTACCTGTCCTGTGGAGAAGGATAAAAGAACAGAACATTCGAGACAGCGTCAATATTTCATGGGACTCCTAAGCCACTGAAGAAAGCCGATGCTGAAGACCCCACGATGCCCTTTGCTCCTGCCCGGAATCTTACCTAGGACCTAGACTCAGGGTGGGGTGACCTCTCCTCTTGCAGTAGACCAAGCCAATCAGTGGCTCCCAGCACATGTGCTACCCAAGATCCCCTTCATCTGTGCGGGCCTTATGTTTGAATAGTTCTTTTTTTTTTTTTTTTTTTTTTTTGGTCTTTTTCGTTTTTATTGGTACCAGGGATTGAACGCATGACTGCCTGCTTGCAAGGCAGGTTCTTATGCCGCTGAGCTAAATCCCCAGCCCAATGGGCCTTATGTTTGGAAGTATGTCCTCTATAAAGAGTCCTTATTTAATAGTCATTATTTTCTAATTTTTAGTTAGTAAATCAGAATCATTTCATGTTGCCAATCAGACAGAATGCCAGTGAGGACTGAATCGTTGCTTCAGTGGACCGTGTTGTCTCACTGGGGGTAAAATCCAATACATAGTCGCCCAGAACCCTATGGTCACTCCTGACCATCTGTACTGTGCCACACACTGTGCCAGGCCCTGCCTGGATCTGCAGAAAGGAACAGCCAGTCTCTGCCCTGAGGGAAATGATCATTTTTCAGAAACTAGAATCCAAGCTCTTTAGAAGGTAGCAGCTGCTGCAGCAGGCTACGTTGCAGACGGGGTATTCCCAGGGCTGGAGGACACGGATGCCAGCAAGCAGAGCCCAAGAACTGAGTCTGCAAAACCACATTCATGCAATCCAGGAAGGAGGGAAAATAAAAGTCAGCTGCTGAGAAATGTGAGTGAGAATTAAACAATCCATGTTCCAGAGGCTGCGAGCCAGCTACAAGGTAGAACTCTTTATCCACATGCCCCGGGCTCTGGCAAGGCTGTTGGGAAAGACTGCTTCAGCCTTGTTTGAAAAAGGCAAACTGATTTTATGTAAGGATCCGGCCTTTCAGAGGGAACAATGGTGTCATAGAGAAGGAGGTGGCACCATCCAGGCTCTGGTCTGGCTCCCTGGAATTGCCTGAACCCTAGGAAGATGCTTCCGCCCTCACTGGGAAAGTCTGACCATAGAAGCCTGTTCACCTCCACCTCTGCGGACAGACATTTCTCACCCACCACCCCTCCAGCAGAGGGCTGTAGCTGGCGTATTCATGGGATTTGTACCATGACGCTGCTCAACTCAGAGGGCGGCCTGTCTTCCCTGACCACGTGGGCAAGACAGGCTTCTTCTGACACTGCTTCCTTGCTCTCTGTCTTTCCTGATGTCCTGATAGGAATTAACAAAAACTCTGAAATCCTGCTGCAGAAAAGAAATCTGGTATTTTCCCCATCTTTCATCCCTTCTCCAGCAAAGATTCCTTTTTTCTTGAAGCTGTTTTTCCTCATGATGCCTGTTTTGTCTTTATATAGCCCTTGATATTTTCAATGGCCATGGCAATGAATAATTATTTAGGTAATTAGGAGATAATACTTCTTTTCAAAGTTGCATACCATGAGATGACACCCACCAAAATAGTAGCTGAGCCTGATCATCCTGTGTATAATTACTTCTGTACTTAATAACTAATCTGTCTTCATGGGGACCCATCTAACTGAAAGTTCAGAATAATACTCTGTGTGACTGATTTTCTTTCTCTGGCACCTATAATTTCGTGTTATTTCACACTCTCAACAGAGGAGAGAAGAAAAAAAGGACCATGCAAAAGATTAAGAGATTTGCCTCAAAAGAAAATCTACCCAACGAACTCAGAGAAGGAGGCCAGTGTAACAGGCAGACAACCTGGGGCCTGAAAAAAACATCAAGGAGATCTACACGCTTTATCTTACTTTTCCAAACTGACCTTAGAGTCTTCATCTGATCCAACCATCTGTGATTTCTGCCTTTGGTTCCTCTTCCACCCTGCCCCTAATCAGCAGATTTGAAATCCAGATCTTCCTAAACCCTCAGCAGAGACCTATACAGGAGGTGCCCAGAAGCATCTGTCACACAGCCCCCACAACCCCAAGTGCCAGCCACAACAGGAATGGTCCTGCACTGTCATCCCACCCCGCATGTACACCTACATGCCTGGGTGTTTGCATGCATCTGACAAACAAAGCTGAAGGGTACCGTGGTGTATGAAGAGATGACAGATGTATATGCCCTCCTAACACACAGATAAAGCATGGGTCATGCAGGGAGTGTGCATCAGCGAGGAAGAGGAACCAAAGCTGCTGGCAGTAATTAATCCATTTGGCCACACAGGGACATGGGCAGTGAAGCTGGGCCTGGCCCCAGTAGACTTTGCAAACCAGTGCTGGTTAGCTGTCACACAATGAAGCAGGGCATTTAAGATGTGCAACAATGCTACTGGACACTTTTTTTCTCTGCACACCACTTACAGCTCTTATCTACCTGCAGTGGAGAAAAAAGAGTGGGAGTTCATTTAGCCACCCTAGGGCATGCGCAGGTGGTCACTTTCCCAGGATTGTCATTAGAAGACCTACGGCAATGGTCCCTTTATCACTTTTCTACCACATCCAGAGCACACAAGCCTTCTCCACTCACACAAGCTGACTCTGTGGTTTAACTGCATGGGAAGTGTCTGCTGGCTAGTATCCCCAAAATGCCGCAATTCCCATGCACCCATTACACTAACAGTATTCTCATGGGTCCTGAGAAGTCACTCAAGGCTATCTAGTAGTGTGTGTACAGGGCATTTAAGATGTGCAACAATGATAGTGGACATTTTTTTTTCTGCACACCACTTACAGATCTTATCCACCCGCAGTACATAAATGCTTATGTACACATATGCATGCACACAAACACACATTGTAGTGCCCCCTCCACCAGCACCCACACGTTCACACACACTTGGGCACACATCCCTGTGTTGTGTGCCCTGTCCTCATCAGACCCATTCTTGCAGACAGCCCCCCTCCCCCACTCTGGAGCAGCTGTCTGCCTCCAGGCTGTCACACCCCTTTTACCCACCCCGACCCCCCTGAATTCCACATCTGCCACTGGGAAGCTGCTCAGAAAGGTCTGTTTGTTTCTTTCTCATACTAACATATCATTTTTCACCTGCCCAGTGCCCCAGCCTGTCCTGCACCCACACATATCTGACACACATATGCAGCTGCTAAACGGAAAACACACATTCGAGTCTCACACAAGCATCCCTTGTGTGGCAGCTGCGTAGGAGCCCTCCAGCGTGTCACTGTCACAGAGACCTTCCATCCCAATGTACCCCGCCTTTTTGTCAGCTCCTAATAAAGTTACCCAGCACAGTCGAGGACACACATGCACAACGACATACACTCGCATAAACATCCATCCACCCCTCCAGCCACGTAGTTGTGTGCAGAGGCTTCCTGGCAGTTTCCCTCTGTCAGCCACAGACACCCAGCAGTGTGGCCCCCAGAAACCTTTACAAATGCAGTCTCTCCGATTTCGCGTGTCTGTCACACGCGCACACACACCGCCCCCCGCCCTGGTGTGGCCGCGCACACCTGTCACCCTGCGCGGTACCATCAGCGACGTATGTCCCATATGGGCACAGGTTAGCCCCCTGCAGGACGGAGGGGAGATGGGGTATCTGTGAGCGTCTCATGCGCACAAGCTCCCTCCCTGGTCTACCCCCGCCGGTGGCCCCTCCAACCCTGCCAGCAGGACGACGGGCCGCGGTGACACGCGACGCCTGCCCGGCCCCTTTGTTGGCGGCTAGAGGAGCTGTCCAGCAGGCACGGTCGCCCGCGCCTGGCGCCCGACCGGCCCGCCACCCCTACGCCCTAGGCTAGCGCACTCACCCCCGGCCAGCAACAGCAACAACAGCGGCGGCCGCGACAGGGGCGGGCCCCGGGCGGCCCGCAGCAGACGGCCCATGGTGCAGCCGTCGCCGCCCGCAGCCGCAGCGGCGCGGCGCCCCGAGCCCGCGTCAGGAGCGCGCAGGCGGTGGCGGCGGCGCGCGCACGCCTCGTTGGCCCGCGTGGCCGTCACTCACGCCTCGTTCCGCCCAGCCGCGTGCTGCAGGCGCGTCCCCGCCGAGACCAAGCCCGCGCACGGGCACCGCCCCTCCGCAGCGCTCCGCCCCCCCCGCCGCGGCCCGCGCCCAGCCGACCAATCGTAGGGCTGAACGAGACCTCGGGGGCAGGGCCGGGGACGCACAGGACCGCGGCCTCGTACCTGGAGCGCGCGCTGGCGTCCTGCTCTGTGGTCCCTGCGGGCTAGACGTGTATTAGTGTTTCCCGCCAGGCTACAAGCCGCACCACGGTCAACTGAGGACAGCGTGGACCTGACCAGCGGGACAGAGGTCTGAGGCGTGAGGTCAGCGAGACTTCTCAGATACTGGTTTAAGAAGCCCCCCGCACCCAGGCCGGCTGAAGACCCGGATGGGGCAGGGACCCGCGGCCCAGGGGTACCAGACACTGGAACCGGACTTGGAGTCATCTCCTTGGCTGTGGGTCCAGGGCTTATTTGAAAAAAGGGACAAAAAGGAGGGGGGGCAGTTTCTTTCTTAGCCTTTATGCCCTTTGACACTCGAGTTCACTCATGTGTCATGCACTGTGGTTTAAAGAAACCAGATTTGTCCCTGACCTATTTATAATTCAGGCAGGAGACAGACCTAAAAAAATCTAACACTGTATGATCATGTGGTGCGGACTCAGGAGACTGATAAAAACAAGCACCAAGAGACCCTACAATACCAAACCTTTAGCTGCCTTCCCCCAGAAACACGCTTGAGGCTAGCAGCCACAAGGGTAAAAGGACCTTAGGTAGGAGGGTGGCCTTGGGAGAGGACATGCTAGACAGAGAAGCCATTGGTGTCTGCCCAACAGAAAAGGCCCAGCCTCTTTAAGGACAGAGAAAAAAACACTCCTTTAGAATCGCTGCAACCTAAACGTCTCCAGCAACCACAATTTTGTGGAAATTACTTTATATACAGTAAATTAGGAAGTCACGTCTTCTCAATAAATTGTATTGAATATGCTTTTGAAAACTGTATCCTCACCTTTCTGTGCAAGGGTTACCAAACATTATAGACAATCCCACAAAACCTTTCCAGGCCAAATATTTAGGAAAAATAAGATTGGAGGTGGAAGGATAGAGAGAAAAAAATAGATTCCAGACAAAGGAAAGAACATGGCAAAATGTAACACCATGTGATAGGATGTGGCGTAGCATAGTAATGGGCATGATGATGCTATGATTAGAAGGGAAAGGCAGAAGACAAAGAGATGAGTTTAGTATTCATAACAAAGTAGTAACCCCTTATACAGGAGAGATCTAAACACAAGGAAAAAGTGAATGACATAACAAAAAGCAGTAACAGAATGTTTAAATGAAGACATCCTAATTTAATAGAATTTGTAGAACTGTATCACTTGTAGCTGAGATGAACTTAAAGCCCCACAGCCCATATTTGCTAGATGCCAGCACTGGAAAGGGCAGTGAGGACCTGGTAGTAAAGTATCTTAAACACCAGGATAGGTGATTCAAACTTATCCTGTGAGAAATTCATCTTGTCTCTCCCCTGAACCCATCAGGCTGGGGATGGAACCTAAGGCCTCTAGCAACTCTAGCATGCCAGGGAAGTGCTTTGTCTCTGAGCTACACTTTGTGATTCTCCCTTGCTGTCCTGTCTCTGTCCCTGATCCTCAGTGGCATCTTCTCTGTCCCACCATCCCACTTCCCACCAAGGCTTTGCCCGTCTCCTAGCACAGGAGTGATGCCCAACTAGGAGACGAATTCCTGCTGTTGCGGATCTTGGGGTGTGGAAGTCACCCCATGCTCAAGTACATGTGCATGTGCCTGTAGCTCACACACTTCCATAATGTCAACCCCTTCCCAGTGCCTCAAAAAAACAAAACCAAAAGGAAATTCATTTTTATATAGGATGCCATGGCATAATTAGGTCTGCATTTTAGATGGACAAATCTGATAGCCAACAAGTAGGAAGAACTACTTTATAGAACAAGGAGCAAAGCGTCTTGTGAAGAGATGGCTGCAGCTGGCCTGTTACCCCACGATGACAGGAGGCCACAACTGGCTTAGCGATGTGGCCGGAGTTGAAGAAAGTGCTCCTGAATGGAACTTACTGGCCTTGGAGAATGACCAGATGAAGCTGACTTGGTCTTTGTACAAATGCAGACTAGAGAAGACCACCATGTATAACCCAGTTTATGGCATGCTGTCTGATTGCAGAGAGAATACCCGACACACAGCTTAAAGGAAGAGAGGTCTATCTTGGCTCATGTTTTTAGTTCATAGTCAACTCCAAGGCAGGGCAGTACAGCAGAGGGGGCTAGAGGGAGGAAAAACTATTAACATCATCATCTGCCAGGAAGCAGCATCAAGGGAGAAGCCAGGAAAGATGAACCCTTCCAGGCCACTCCTACAGTGACCACCTCAGCAAGTCAGCTGTACCATCCCCACAATTGAGCATTCCAGTAGAAAGAGAAGGAGGAAGTCACTGCTACAAAGTATAAAGCCATTTTGAATTTTTTTTTAATCGGTACTAGGGATCGAACTCATGACCACCTGCTTGCAAGGCAGGTGCTTATGCCGCTGAGCTAAATCCCCAGCCCTGCCATTTTGAATTCTAATGGTCTTTTTGTTCTGAACTGTTTGAACTTCAATATTGTTTTGTTTTGATACACAGTCCCATTCCATAGTTCAGGCTGGCCTTGAACCTGCAGGGATCCTCCTGCCTTAGCCTCCCAAGGGCTGAGATTACAGGGGTTCACCACCATGCTTGGTTTGTGTTACTACCATGCTTGGCTTCTATTGTTTTTATAGTAAACATTTTGGGGGGGAACAAAATAACTGAAGAAATTTAGAGAGATGTTAGGAAGAAGTAATGACTGGTTTGGGGAAGAGAAAAATGGGGTGCACCTGTATTTACAGCCAGCCTCCTCGAGTGGGCTTCCCATTGTCTCCTTTTCAAGGACTTCCAACTTAGGGGAGCTCTTGTTTGGCGGTCAGTGTCTGTCTCAGTCTCTTCTGGATTGCTCTCAGTAGAGACAATCACAACTGCATCTCTCATCTTTGAAAAACCCCCAGCCCCTAAGGGTGATGAGCTCACACTGGAGGTGCCCTGTGTAATGTGTCTTCCACCCTGCCACTCTTGCTGCCCGGGAAAAGTAGGAAGACACGCTCCTGAAATAGCAGGACCAGATCAATAGGTGTGTCTAAAATGTTGCAGATTGCTTCAAAAGGAAAAGGCAAGTAAGATTTAATTGATGAAGGAAACCATACTTGGAAATGCATATGCTAATTACTGTTTGAGTAAAGAGTGTATTGTAATTTAAAGGTTAAAAGTAAACAAACTAAGCATTCAATTTAAGAAGTTTTTTTAAATTTTGTTTTGTTTTTTGGTACCAGGGATTGAATTCATGACTTGGCACCTGCCAGGCAGGCGCTTATGTTGATTAAGAAGTCTTAAAACACACATGGACAAAATAATTGATAAATTTCTATTACCGCTAAAGTAGACAACAAAAACCTAGTAGAAATGTTTGCTATTCACCTGTTATTTGAAAAGATGAATAAAAATAAAACTTTAATATTAAGAAAAAAATAAAAGGTGGGCATAATGGCACAGGCCTATAATCATACCACTTGGGAGCCTGAGGCAGGAGAATCACATGGTGAGTTCAGAGACAGCCTGAACTAGTGAGACCCTTTTGAAAAGTAGAGAGAGAGAGAGAGAGAGAGAGAGAGAGAGAGAGAGAGAGAGAGAGAAGGCACACAATGTAAATGTTCCCCCAAGTGCATTCTGAGGTGAGCTTTGGTTGGATCAGAGGCGGAACTGCCTTGGGAGGGTCTGTTTCCCTATTTCCCTTCCCAGCTCCTCTCTCCTTTCTCTGCTTCCTAGACATCCAGTCCTTCTCCTTGCTGAAAACCATGCCCTTTCTGCCGTGAAGCCAGCCAACCGTAGACTGTACACCCCAAACTATGAGACAAATTTAACTTCTCCTTCTTTAAGTGTGGGGGTCAGTTGGGTCAGTTATTTTATTCTAGTGATGGGAAAGCTGACCAGAGCATGTTAGTAGATATAAAAGCATGAAAAAGAAGAGAATAAAAGTACAAGTAAGATTTTAAAATTATAAGCAAAATTACATAATTTATCAATAAAACTTTAAGATCTAATTAAAATGAATGCTGTTAAGAAAAATATAAATTGACTGAAATGAAATCAAGTGGTACAAAAGCTAAACAGATGAAAAACAATGGGAGGAAAACACAAGCTAGAAATCATGCCTTAAGGACATTAATACTTGGGTTTTTTTGTGTGTGTGTGTGGTTTTTCGTTTTTATCGGTACCAGGGATCGAACTCGTAACTGCCTGCTTGCAAGGTAGGCACACTTATGCCGCTGAGCTAAATCCCCAGCCCCTAACATTAATACTTGTTAACAAGTATATTTTAGCAAAGCTTCAAAATATATACTCTTCCAAAGCAAAATTCAGAGCTTCCCAGTTCACTTCAAGCTAGTATAACCCTCATACCAAAACTACTAAGAACACAAATAGAAAAACCCTGAGCCAATATCAGTGAATACAAGCTGGGGATTTAGCTCAGTGGCTTAAGTGCTTGCCTAGTAAGTGCAAGGTCAAGAGTTTGAACCCTGGTACCAAAAACAAACAAAAAAACAATTTTAGTAAATACAAAAAGACTTCCAAAAGGAAGTAACAGCAAAGGGGTTACACCAGTGCTTTCAGAATATGAATGTATTATGGTAAGTAGGGCTTGTTTTAGGGTCATAAGATTGGTTGAGTATTAGGGAAAAATGCTACTTTTATTCTGTGCATTAAGAAGAAAAAGTTATATTTGTCAAGAGACTATCCTGGGATTTAGCTCAGCGGCATAAGCACCTTCCTGGCAATTATGAGAGTGTGAGTTTGATCCCCAGTACAAAAAAAAAAAAAAAAAAAAAAAAAAAGATTTGAAAAAAGCATATAGTTGAACTTAGCATTAACTTCTGTTAATAGAAACAAAAATGTTGGAAAGAAGCAAGAATTGTTTTTATTATTATTTTATAAAATTTATTGAAAACAGAAATTCAAAGTCTTTACTTTTAGGACTATTAACAAATCCCCTATGGGTACACTCAAAATGTCCACCTCCCCACTAAATGCTACCCACTTTCCCCCATTACTGAGTCCCGTCACATTATTACTACCCGGCAACTATGTGGAAGCGTGTGGAATGCATGTGTAGGACATTTGCTCCCAAGAGAGGTCACAAGTTTTGTGCCCCTTGTCACAATGATCCTAGATTCCTGTTGGGTGTGTTGTAAACAGAGAAGCCATTCTTCAGGCCACCTGCTCTGAGCACACCCCACTTAATGGTGAATAGTACAAAATTAACTCCAAATGGAACATACCTAACACTAACACTACAAAACCATTAGAATACAAGAGTATATTTTTATGACAGTTGATTCTGGCAGTGATTTTTGAGGTATCAAAATCATAAGCACCACAGAAAAATATATAAACTGGAGATCCAGAAAATTAAAAACTCTGCATGCTTAAAAAGTCATTATCAAGCTTAGGGTGCTGGCACACACCTACAATCCCAAAACTTGGTAAGTTGAGGCAAGAGGATCACTGCATGTTGAGGGCAGCCTGGAGGCCCAGGCCAGTAAAGCACATAGCAAAACCCTGTCTCAAATAAACCAAAAATCATCATCAAGAAAATGAACAAAAAGATTTGCAAGTCACTTTTCTGATATGGGACTTTTGTCTAGATTATAATATATTCTAAAATATATAATCAATTCTTACAAGTCAATAATAAAAAGGTAACCTGGTTTGTAAAAAGTGCAAAGAACTGAATGTTACTGAATTTGTGTGTCTATGTCACAAGAAAAGATGCTCAGCCTTCTTAACCACCAGAGAAATGCAAGTCACAACCACCGTGAGAAACCCTACCACACCTAAGGTGAGTAGAACCAGAATCATTTCTATAGCCCCTGAGGTATGAAATGGTACAGCTGCTTCACCACGTGATCCTCCAGCTCCTCAGGAGTCTGAAGGTCAAGTTGTCCCAGACCTAGCACTTCTGCTCCTGCTGGAGGCGCTAGGCCCCTGGTGCTCTAAGCACCTTCCCCCCTTTATCCTCACACTTTTTCCCCACTCCGGAGCTTCCTTTGCTAGCTTGAGGGATGACTCGTCCCAGCCATTGTCTCTATGTACCTTGCTGTGTGATGGCATCCATCCAAATGGACAGCTGCCTGATCATATCACACCGTGGGCCCATACCAAGAGTCCCCGGCAGAGTTGCCTGACCCTTGATGATGCTACTTGGATGTCTAAAAGACGTTTCCAGCAGACATGGCTCCAAGGAAGCTTCTAGTTTGTCCCACAAAACCTCAGCTCATTTTTCAAGCCAGAAACTTGGTCAATAGCTGTGGTTTCCTTTTCCCACACTCCCCATTTATCTTGTCTGATCCACCTACAAAATACATGTGTTCTTTTACCCACTTCCATCACCACCACCACCTGTCTCTATCCTTCCTTCCTCTCCTCTCTCCAGCAGCCAGACAACTCTGCCTATGAAATGCGCAGGCCATCAAAGGTTGCCCGTGGTGGGGATGAGGCCCTGCCCACCCAAGAGTTAACCTCTTGCCACACCCCTTACTGCATTCAGCCACTCTCTGGCCCCTGGCCAGCTCCTTTGGTCTTTTAAAGATCTCGTAGCCAGGCATGGTGGTACAAACCTGTACTCCCAGCACTTGGGAAACTGAGGCAGGAGGACTACCATAGTTCAAGGCCAGCCTGAACTACATAGTGAGACCATCATGAAACACACACATTTTTCATTTAGTGCTGAGGACCTGGGCTCAAGCATGCTAAGCCCTGCTCTGTCACTGAAATGCTACAGTCCTATCTTAGGTTGTCATTTTTAGAAAAGCTACCTCGTCAGTAATCTCCACATGCAATTCAATTTCATGTAGTCTTATTGCTTCTTTCATAGCTTTTCTTTCTTTTTTTCACAGCATAACTTGAAGGGGCTTTCTTCTCTTGTTGAAGTCTCCTTCCCCCAACATCCTACAACTGGAGGCTATGTGAGGGCAGGAAGCAGGACTGATCTGTTCACCTGTGAGGGAAGCAGCTTGCTAGGCTCCTGAGCAATGTAAGGAAGGCAGAGCACAGGCAGGCAGAGATGCCAGAGTTTGCATAAGTATCTGCATGCCTTTTTATGCAGTGGCACAGGCCAGAAGGGAGGAACCGTATACCATACAGCCACTGGAGACCTGTAGGCTCATTAGAAAGGAAACACCAGTCAGATACTGAGTGCCCTGCAATCTTGGGCAGCTCACCCAGCAGGTCATCTAGGGGCGGGTAGCACTGCTCCACAGGGAGATGGACTTTGCTTGGCTATCAGAGGCCACAACTGCGAACCAAGTTCCCTAGGGAGAAACCTGTCTGAGTCAGTATGCTGTTGCTGTCACGAAGCACCTCATGACTGGCTCTGCAGGTCTCTTGTGGCTCAGCTTTGGAAGGTCTGGTCCATGGCTGGCAGTCCTGTTGCTTTTAGACTCAGAGGCAGCACTTCACAGTGGAGTGTGGCAGTGCAGTTACCCAACTCATGGCAGCGAGGATGCAGAGGGTGGGCTGGCTCCCAGTGCCTTCAGGGCAGGTCCTCACTGCCCAACAAGGCCTGCCTCTGAAAGGGTCCACCATCCCCCTTTTGTGCCTCACGGTGGGGATCAGGCCTTTAGCTTCTGGGCCCTGGGGGATTTTTGAGGCATAAACTCTAAAAAGACAAAGCACTTTTGGTTTCTTCACAGCCACTCACAGAATAGCTCCTCTACTCCACCTCCTTCAGAGACCAGAGGCAGCAGATGGATGGACAAGGCCTTCAAAGCCCAAGAATGCCTGGAATACAACATTAAAACAGAACTGAGGCCACCAATACTCATGTTTACATTTTATTCAACTTTATTAAAAATTTAAACTACAGAAACAAAACCTGCATATACAAATAACCAAGTAAAAGAAATCGTCAGGTAAACACAACCAGATTAATACAGCAATGGTGACTAACAGTGGACACGAGACCCCCGACTCCATACCAGGCTGTCACAGGGCCATGGGCACCAGGCTGGCCAGCTGAGCACTCTTCCACCTTACAGCTGGGCCCATTTGCAGGACCAGATATCAGAAAGAACTACAAACACCTGTAAGGTGCTGTGGGGCAAAAGGTGGCAAAAGCTGTCCTAACACCCAGGTAAGGGCGCCCATCCTACAATACACCCAGACTCTGGAAGCACAGTGACTGATGCAAGGCACCGTGTGCAGACACCACATGCTGGTGGCAGGCTGCTGAGCAGGTGGGACAGAAACCCTGGGAAGGTGTCACCCAGAAGGTGAGAGGAGCAGAAGGTAAAGCCCAAGACATTACCATCAATGCTCCATATCAGTCCAAGACACGCTGGTGAGGCTAAGTCCCAAACCTGGATCCCAGGACACCGAGCCCCTGGAAAGTGTCCATAAAGCAGAGGGTGACCAAGCACTTCGAGTAAGGTCCTCAACCAGAGTCACAGAAGCCATGGTGGTCAGCCCAGGGCTCAGAACTGCTGAAGGATCACCTTCCGCTTCAGGTCTCGACTGAACTTGTTCATCCTGAAGAGCTCGCTGTCATAGAAAGCAGACAGGTTGTGGATGTTGATCTGCCGGGCCTGAAACAGGAAGTATCAGGGAGCCGTGAGCAATATGAGAGTGAGCTCTGTTTCCCAGGGATTCCCAGTTCCTCCAACGCCCGCCAGGCCTATACCTTGTCCACCAAGTCCTTCTCAGGCACCTCAATTGTGTCCTGCTGGGCACCAAAGCGGTTGCGCTGATAGGTCACCTGCTCGGCCACCAACTGCTTTAGGATGAAGAGCAGTAGTTCATTGTTGTCTCGCCGGAATGAGAGATAGCGGGCAAATGTCTGCAGAAAAGAGCACAAGTCAAACACTACTCCCTGCCGTCTCTGCCACATTCTTTCAACCACATTCCTCCAAGCAGTCAGGGCAGGAGGCAGACCGCACCCTGGCAGGATGACCACCCTAGGATCCTGGCCAGAGCCGGTGTCACCCACCTTCCGCATGCTGCGCATGACACTGAACTTCTGTGTGTCAATGAAGCTCTCCAGCATCACGCGAATGGCCATGTTGACGTCATCCTCGATCACATAGTCCCGCAGGTGGATGCGTGCATGGGCCTCTGCCATGCGGATCATGGACTCGATGTGCCGCACCGTGATGGGGATGCTGCCTGTGGCCTGGAGGGAAGCACAAGATGGGTCTTCCTCAGCCAGGATGGAGACAGGAAGGGGACAACAGGACAGCCAGGACCAAGAAGGTGGGCTGGGGATTTAGCTCAGAGGCATAAGCACTTGCCTTGCAAGCGCAGAGTCCTGCGTTCGATCCCCGGTACCAAAAAAAAGAACCAGGAGGAAGGAGGCTCAGTGACAGACAGCAAAAGCAGCACTAGAGCTAAGGAAGCTGCGGGCCACAGTGCAGTGTTGGTAGGACACCCAGCTGGTCTAGATCTGCTGTGTTTACAGCCAGTTCTACTGGGTATTGCGAATTATAGTTACAAAATCCACAGCAACATGAACAAGAAAAAAAAAGGTAGTTCTATGAAAACTAAGGTGAATGCTTTGGTAAAGTTAAAAGGCACGAACAAAAGCGGATGCCACGATCCAGAGTGGGTGATAGCCATCTACAAGACTTCTGGGTACCAACTGCCCTCCGGCTGCCTGGGCGCCCCTGTTGCCCTCTGATGAGCCAACCAGTTCAGACCCTGGGTCTGTGTGAGTGACAGTCATGTGACATCACTAAGGAAATTCATTGTGCACTGACAACACTGAGACAGGACAAACACATATCAAGTTCCTTCTATAAAAAAAGTACGGTTTTTTTTTGGGAGGTGCTAAGGATAGAATCCCAAACCTACTGCATAGTAGACAAGGGTTCTTCTGCTGAGCCACAGCCCCAATTTGAAGTCTCCTGGCACTCTGTGGACTGGCACCCCACAATCCCACCAGGCTGCCCCAGCCCTCACCATGGACTCCTTTCGCAGGTCACTGTACATCTTGGCCACCTTGTCCTGGTCCATCTGGTTGAGTTTTGGGTGGACCCTCTCCTTGGCATAGATGATGTACTTCTTCAGTACCTCCTGTGGCAGTGGCTCCACACCGTATGTGTTAGGCATGGTGGGCTCCTGGGCCCTGCTGGCCACCCCCTCCTCCTCCTTGTTGCTGGGGTGGTGGCGGACATGGCTGCCGACGACAAAGCGGGCCAGCATCTCATCCTAGGATGGGTAGCAGGGAGCCCTGGTGAGGCCAAGTGTGACCCCATCACACTGGCTCTGTGAAGGCACCCAAGCGTGTGGCCGAGAAGTGGGGTTAGGGTGGAGAACACGGAGCAGGGCTGGCAGGACTCAGAGGACAGCCAGGGAGGGGATGGGTGAGGAATCAGAAGTGAGGACCAGAGCTGGACGGCAGAAGAGGGCAAGGGAGCGAGATTGCACACCAGGCCACCCCACATGGGGCCACTTGCGCCAACACTCAGCATAGAACAGAACCGGGTGTGAGGCTGTACCTGCACAGGGTCCACCGTGTCCCTCACTACACACAGGACGTCAAAGCGGGAAATGATGGGCTCTGTGAGGTCCACGTTCTCGGAGAAAGTCAGTGAGGGGTCATAGCGTCCCCCTGAAACACAAAGGAGCTTCTCTGTCAGGCGAGTGCCCCCAGCCTCTGTCCTTCTCAATCTGAACACCCTTCCCAAGCCTGCTCCACTTCCATGTGGAAGGACAGAAAGACAATGAGGTCTTTCTGCTGAGCCACAGCCCCAATTTGGAGTGGAAGAGGAGGAGGGTGGGGATCCCTGCCTGACTCCTAGCGTGACCACAATGGGCCTGACTGAAACAGGAGATTCCCTCCAGAAAGGACTCATGGAGTGGAGGAGGTGGGACTGTGCTCTGTCACTTCCTGGCCTGTCCAGCTCAGGCAGGGATCAAATTTCTCCCCAGGATCCTGAGAACACCCAAGAGAGATGCTGAAGACCAGATCCCCAAACCTGTGGCCTTCAGTACTGGAGTCTGGACCATGCAGGCCCTACTCGGCCCAGCATACCTATGGGGTTGGCAGCTGCAATAACAGTGCAGCGGGCCTGCAGGGAGGTGACAATGCCAGCCTTGGAGATGGAGATGCTCTGTTGCTCCATGGCCTCATGGATGCTGGTCCTGTCCTGGTCGTTCATCTGTGAAATGCAGATGTATGCCCTCAGCACACACTGCACTACCACTGTTTCTGTAAACTGAGCCCATCGGGGAGTCCCCCCACTGGCTCCCACCAGCCCGCCTGGCCCAGGACCCTACCTTGTCAAACTCATCAATGAGACACACACCCCGGTCAGCCAGAACCAGCGCCCCAGCCTCCAAGGTCCACTCTCTGCTGACTGGATGCCGCTGTACATAGGCCGTGAGTCCCACTGCTGAGGCTCCCTGGCCCGTGGTGAAGATGGCCCGGCTGGACACCTTTTCCACGTACTTGAGGAACTGAGACTTCGCCGTACCTGGGTCTCCACATAGCAGCACATTGATGTCACCTCGCACCTTGTGTTTCCCACCTGGTTAAAGAGATGGGGAGGGAAGTGAAGAGGACAAGACCCTGCCGACCACAAAGCGGGAAATGATGGAAACCATGGGACCTGGGGCTCCACAGGCAGAGAAGGTCCTGCCATGCCTGGCTGAGGAGCGGGATACGGCCTCGGCTGGTACCTCTGACTTTTCTCAACCTGTGCGTCAGCATAGCCAAGGCCATCTCTCTAGGAAGAATATAGGCCTGGGACCAGTGCCCCAAGCTGGCCACTTAACCCAGACCTGGGTGCCATATAGTCACAGCTAAGATGCTCTTTGGGAAAAGGGGAAACCAGAAACAAACCACCTCCAAACAGAGGGAGAGCTGAGTCTACTATGCACTCCATCACATGAAGAATGTGTTAATATAAAAAAGATGTAAAGGGGCTGGGGATTTAGCTCAGCGGCATAAGCACCTGCCTTGCAAGCAGGTGGTCATGAGTTCGATCCCCGGTACCAATAAAAAAAAGACCAAAAAAAAAAAAAAAAATGCGAAGACAGAGTGGGAAGAGGACAGCAGGACATATTCTGCCCATGCACAAGAAATCTCAAGGGTACTGCATCTGCCACAGCAAGCTAATCAGAAGATGACCCACGCATGGGAAGGGACTGGGATAACAAGCGTCTGTCAAGGAAACTGCGAGTTCACCAGTGACCTAATGCAGATGTGTACTCTGTCACTTGTGTGATGTAATCTTGTTTTGTTTTTGTTTTGACAAAGTCTCAGTTTTTAGTTCAGGTTGTCCTTGGATTATGTAGCTCAGGGTATCCTCAAGCTTGAGGTGATCCCTCTGCCTCAGCCTCTTGAGTGCTGGGATTACAGATGTGCCACAACCGGCTAATCTTGTTTCTTTGAGACAGGTTAATTCTGACCCCCTATGAAATGGCTAAGTAGGGCCTAGCTGTCTTTTTATGCACCCTTTCTCCCCAGCAGCCAGGAATCCTATCTTGTGCTGCAGAACACAGGAGGATGGTTCCCCAGAGGACACAGATGGCCCTGCAGCGGGCAGAGAGTGAGGGCCCCACACTGCTCACCTGGGTTCTTCGGTTCCCCTCCAAACAGAGCCAGGGCCAGGCCTCTCTTGATGTCCTCATGGCCATAGATGGAAGGTGCGATGCTAGCAAAAATCTAGGAAAAGGGAGGGCACCATGGGACCTGGGGCTCCACAGGCAGAGAAGGTCCTGCCATGCCTGGCTGAGGAGCCAAGGCGGTGCCCAGCTCAAACCCAGCATCCAGCCTGGCTTCCTCAGGCCCCTGCACCACCATGCTCTGATGCATGGGTCCTTGGCTTGCCCCAAGAGCCAAAGACCTTGAGGATAGAGGACAGTCTCAGTCTGACTCCCAATACTTACGTCATTCGGAAAGCACCTTCCCCAGACCGCAGACCAACAGTGGAGCCTGTGAGCTCACGCGTTGCGGTAGCACCCAGGGCGGCTCTGACACAGGCAGTCTGTCCCCACACTGCCTCACCCCACCTTGGCATAGGATGGGCGTTCCCAGTTCACACTGGGGTGAGTAGGACTGCTCATCGGGTGCCAGCTTGGGCACAGGCGTGAGCAGGGTAACAGGGTGCATCTGAAGATGGGCCCCACCAAAAGGCAGGTGCATCAAGGGGGTCTTTTCTCAATTTCAATGAGGGAGGGAGAAGGAAGTGGGGAGACAGACAGACAGAGACAGAGCAAAATCTGTATGCATCTAAAGACAGAACTAGAAACGGCAGAGCAGCCTCATGCCTGTGCACAGCTGTCCCCACTGTCCCCAACTCCCCAGGTGTCCCCTTACAGCATAGTTCCCCAAAACTGGAGCATCAGCACCATAAATGGAGGAAGGCCCTGTGTCACCCTGTGAAAAGAAACATGCTTCCCAAGGGCTTTGTGGAAGACAGATGATTCCAGTCCTGGAGCAGGAAATGCCCCAGCCCGGCCTATGGTGCCTTCAACCAGAGGAAAAAAACCCAAATGGTAATCAGTCACACAGGCAGGATGCAGGTGCTGACATGCAGGGTCACAGAGAGGCAATGGGAGCCTGAATACCAGAACCACGGTGACCACAGTGCTGACAGCACGCTGATGTCACCTGCTGGGGACAACAGTATTTGCTCAGAAGGATGCTGCAGGACCTATTCCTCCTCACTCTGAGTACAAATCAGTCCTGCTACTCTAGCTCACACAACCTGTGCCACCTCGGAAGGAATCTGCAGCACATCAAGCTGAAGGGCCAGGTTGTGGCTCCAAGGCAGAGTGCTGCCCTGTTTGCATCCCTAGTGTACTGGGTGGGTGGACTCCATCCTTCAGTATCTGACTGCTCATCCCGGAAACTGCAGGTGACAGGAGCCTCCATACAGGACACAGCAACAAAACAGCAGCACAAGCGACTATCACAAAAACTGAAAGGAAAAAGGAAGAGGGGACAGGCCTCTAGATGGTAAGACTGGGACTGCATTAACTCCAAGAAGCTATTAAAAAACAACTACCAAAAAAAAGCCAAAGCAAAGTACGAGAGTATACATCTGCAATCCTAGTGTTCTGGGAGGCTGAGGCAGGAGGATTCCAAGTTTGAGTCCAGCCTGGACAGCTCAGTAAAACTATTTCACAACTTGATTCAAAATAAAGACTGGGGACATAGCTCAATTAAAAGGTATTACATTCAATCCCTAGTAAGAAGAACAAACAAAAAAAAGTAAAGCAGGGAAATGTAGAAATCCACCCTGCATCTGATACTGAGGAGCAGCTCATGATTTTTACGGTGTGACAGTTGTACTGGGGCTGGGCTTTGACAGACATACGGTGACACTGCAGCCAGCTGAACCAGCATCCTGCAATGTGAAGTAGGTTAAGGGTGAGTGCTCACACCAGCGGCACTGGGAACAATGCCACAGCGGGTACTGTGCTGTGGCTGGAATATGTTCCCCAAAGTGCTTGCTGGACAATCCCCGAGGCCCTGAGCATGGCAGAATCCAGTGGCACTTCTGAGAAGTGACTAGACAAGGAGGGGTCTCCTCTCACACAGGCACTAATACTGTGATCAGCAGGGCGGGTCCTCAGAAAAGACAACTAGAGCTCTGTCTCTTGTTCCCTCCTCTCACCTTTCCAACCCCCACCCGGCCCAACCTCTCTACCTTGGACTTTCCAGTTGTAGAACCTAGAGCTAAAGCCCTAAACTTCTGTCCATTGCAGCAGAGGCTGCTTGCTGAGGCAGAAGGATTGGGAGGCTGAGGCAGGAGGATCATAGATTCTAGTCTCACCTGGGCAACTTAGTGAGATTTTGTCTCAAAATAACCACTAAAAAGGACTGGGGATGTCACTCAGTAGTAGAGTGTCCCCAGGCTCCTGGGTTTACTCCCCAGTACTACAAAGGTGAAGAAATTAAAAAATATCCTATAATAAAAAACTTATAAACGTGGGCCAGGCACCAAGCTATGCCAAGTGCCCCACAGAACTCAATGTTAGCAAAGTGAACTCACCGACTCTTGTACTTGGATGTGGATTCTGAGTCTGCAGGATCCCCAAAAGCTGAGGCCGAGCACAGCAGTGCACACAGGTGGCCGAGAGGTGACAAGATTGTGAGGACACCCTCGGTGGACTAACCTGCCGACAAGCTCACTTGAGCTCACTGCAGGGTGGGAACACGTGGAGGACACGGGTACTTGCAGGTGCCACCCTGAAGGTGGACTTTGTTCCTGGTCCTCTCTGTGTCTCTTGCACAAGGCAAGCAGCCTCCTCCACCGCCAGGCATCAAGTTCTGCCTCGCCTCAGCCCAAAGCAATGCAGCTCGCTGGCCTTGGACTTTCAGAAATTTCTAAAACTATGACCAAAATAAAACCTTTCTCCTGTGAATTGTTTATCTCAACTATTTTGGTCACAGCAACAGAAAGCTGCCACATAATAGCCCTTAGGAGAAAATACCTGTGTCAGCTGCACCTTGCTTGTGACCATGGGAATAAGAGGCTCCATCCTGCCTCAACTTACTCATCCTGAGAAACAGGCACAGCTAAAACCAACACTATAAGAAAGTGGTAGTATAGCTGGGGATTTAGCAAAGCAGCATAAGCGCCTGCCTTGCAAGCTCTTGGTCATGAGTTTGATTCCCAGTACCAAAAAAAAAGAAGTGGCAGTGAACCTATAGCACTCGTGGTGCAGTGGGTTATGCCACTGAAAGGTCTGCCATTGCTACTATAGGCTCTCTGCCTGTTCTGTGAAAATCAGCTAAACAGGGCCAAGTGCACCTATCCCGCTGTGCAGTAAGCCAACCTTTGCTCTAGGGGGGAAGGCAGGCAGAGGCCTCCACGTGCCTTTCCAACTCTCTGCTGCTCATGGGCTGTACCACGGCTGAGGGTGCTGATAGCCCCAGCTCCAGCTCCTTTGTCCCGGCAGGACAAGGCCACTTCCCCCTCCAGGACAGGATGGCACTACTACCCTGCCTGCCATGTGGGGTGAACTCCACAAACTCAGTCCTTCCCCCAGAGCAGATGCTGGGTACAGGTGGCCTCCTGTAGGCCTTGTAGCACATGGGGAAAAGCAATGGGCTCATCCACCAGCGCAGGTGGCCCGGGAACAACAGTGTTGTCTATATCACCTCATCAAAGCCAGTTAATAACCTTGTTTCCTGCCATTCAGAGGATAAAGCCAAGGCTCAGGCCAAACCATGTTCTCCTGGAGGATAGGTAAAATGACACCATGCCCCTAGACAGGGGCCTCCACCAAGCTCAGTCACAAATTCCCAATACCCTGGGAATTTGGGGACATAATGAGGATCCAGAGGTGGCCACAGGAAGGAGGATGAGCCCCAATGCCACCCTCTACCTGCCTTTTCCCCAATTTGCTGGTCCTTGGAGAGGCTGGTAATCATCTTCACATCCTCATCTGTCAGTTCCCCCACGGCCACCTTGTTGTCCTTCTTGGCCACGTGATTGGCCAGGATGACTGTGGCAAAGACAGGGAAGCCATTGGCAGTGTTGAGGGAGCCATCGTAGTTGTTGTGGTAGATGCCAGTCAGCTCCTGGGGAGAGGAAGTGGCCAGGGAGGGTCACAGAGCGGCCAAGACCCCCACACTGCTTCCTCCGCCCTCCCCTGGGTCTCCCTCTCCACACTACAGGCATCACCGTGAAGAAATAAAAATAAAGTCAGAACTGCTAGTGTGGAGAGTGCCCCAAGGGCTCATGGCTAAAGGGTTGGCCCCAGGAGGATGCTGCTAGGACAGGTAGAACCCAGGAACTGGGCATGTGGGAGGAAGTTAGATCAAAGGGACAAGCCCTGCAGGGACACTGGACACAGTCTTCTCTTCCTCCTGGTCACAAGGTGATCAGGCCTGCTCTGCCACACTTCCAGCCGCCAATGTGATACTGCAGACCGAAAGTAACAGGGTCAAGTGATCAGGAGAGAAACCTCTGAAACTGTCAGTCAGAACACACCTTTCCTCCTTTTAACTGATCACCATAGCAACAGGAAGCTGACAAACATAGAAACCTCTCGTACCAATCAGCCAGGCCACTGCAAAGCAGAAAGCATTTGCCCAGTGGTTCAAAACTGACCTCAGTCCAAGCTTCTGGTCACCATAAGCCCAGGAGTCTGGAAGGCCATAGTGGTCACACCAATTCCCTCTTCACTTGGCTCCCTCCTGGCCACTTACGATCTCATCTCCTGGCTTACAGCTGTCCACCAGGTCAGCAAGGAGGATGGCATCTTTGGAGCGGGGCAATCGGCCAGCTGCCACTTTGCCTGGACTCTCCTGGATCCGGATGCGCTGGTAGTTCTGATAGACGGTCTGCATGGAAAAAAGAGGACATTACGGGACCCTGCCCTTCCCCTAGGATCCTCCTTATCCTGTTATTGACCTTGACCTCCGCCTTGACAAAAAGGCAGTGTTACTATTTCTGCCTCCTAACCAAGAAACCACATTGGTGGACAGTCCTCACATCTGGCACTAGACCTCAGGACACTCCAGTGCCAGACTCAAGACCTGTTTCCAGGGCAAAGCTCAACTATATGAATGTGGATGCAACAATCAGGGCACCTGGGTTCAAATCCTGGCTCTGTGTGGGGTCAAGTGGCCTGGGCAGAAACTTCTCTGTCCCTTCCCTGAAGAATGAGGATCTCATACTGTGACTGCAAGTTTGTGGGGAGATCAGATCAGGAGCATAAAGTGCCTAAAAAAATGCCCACCAGGGGCAAGTTACCCTCTGTCCCTGTGCTGTGCCCTGACACCCAGTGTGCACTGTTTCACTCACTGTCAGGAAAGAGGCGTCAGTCAGGCTACAGTTAGATAGGAGTGTGCCCACAGCCCATGTGGAGGACCGGTCTCCATCCCATAGCACTCCCAGCAGGTCCTGAGTCACTGGGGTGAGCCCTTGGAGGGGACTGGGGATACCACAGTCTCCTAATTTCTCTCTGGTGTCCTTGCTCCAAGGCATGCTCCCTGCCAGACCCAACTGTGCAACAAGATCTGAAACTGAGCCACAGCAAACCTCTCCTTCTTGGAAGTTGATTTGCTCAGGCATTTCATTACAGGAGTGGAATGCTGACTAAAACACGGGCAACAGTTTAAAGCCTACAATCTACATCAAAATCCCTGGGCCCTAAGCTTAGGCTGCTTCCTAGCTGTGTCTCAGATAATTCCTCCTCCAGATACCAAGAAGGAAGTGTAGTGGCACTCGCCTCACAGAGAGTAATGAAGTGTAAGTCCTGTGACACACACCCGGCAAGGGCCCTGTACGTTTTAGCTCTGCTTGCTTATCCTCCAAGAGTCACTGCACTAGCTCCCAAGGAGCAGAGGTGAACCTGTCCTGTGACTCAGATAGAAGTAAGGGCCTGGGCAACCCACTCAGGATCCCTCCTGTCTCTCAGACGGAAGCTTTCTCTCAATAAATATATTGCTCTTTAAAAAAAAAAAAAGTGGAGCCTGCACTTGGTCTGTGCACAGAAGGAACAGACCACACACAGGGCCCAGTGGCCAGGGAGGAGAGGACCCTGGGAGGAGACACAGCTCTATTAAATCCAGCCTTACAGCCCTGAATCAGCTGGCACCTCCTAGGCACTTCCTGTCCAGGTGGCTCTAGCTGAGACAACTCTAAGAACCTCGGAAGGGGTGAGCAGTGAGTGGGGAATACAGGGCTACAACAGGACATCCAAAGCCAAAGACACAGGTGCTGTGCCTAAGACCTCAAAGCCAAGCTAGCACACCCATCACCCCAGCTACTCCAAAGTTATAGCAGAAAGACAGCAAGCTCTAGGCCACCCAGGGTAACTCAGGAAGACATTTGTTCATAAAATCATCCTGTGAGACAGAGACAGAAAAGCTAGTGCCCTGAAGAGGGGACCAGAGAAGAATGGGGCCCTGCTCCCCCGGTGTTTCAAGAAGTTACACACTCGGACATTTTGTATGCAACTGCCTGATTTCTGAACACTGGCTTGAATCTTGAAACCCGGTGCAGGCCTGTCTGCAGTGGCAGAGGCAGCACAAGGGGCCTCGAGATGAAGGACCACAGACAGCAGGACTGCACGCTCGTACCTCCTCCATGTTGACTTCGAAGGGCCCCGCAGACTGGCACTCGGGGCAGGATCCCGGCTTCACCTCCTGGTTCTGGGACTGGCAGAAAGGCCCGAGCACGAAGCTGCACTTGTTGCAGTTGTACTTGACCATGCTGAGCTGTGGCAGAACGCCCGTACAGCTGGTCACCACACCACTTGTACGGATCAGCTGGTTCAGGTGCAGCTGCCTGCGGGGAGCAGGAACATCAGGGCCTGACTGGACTCCAAGGACCTGCTCCTCCCTGTGCACCCTGCTCGAGCTTCTGCTCTGGGCTTACCTCAGTGACCGCAGCTCTTCTACCAGGGGCAGGTGGGAGATTCGGACGTGAATGTGGGTGGCAATGCGGTCATATTTGGGATACATGGCCAACACCACTTCCAGGGCCGCCTCGTCAAAGATCTGCAGCAGCTCAGCCGGTGCCTCGGGCAGGAAGTAGGCCAGGACGTGCTCACGGGCAGCCAGGTCCTCATAGTTTACCACCAGGCTCTCGCGGTTCTCTAGAGGACAAGCAGAGACTTGGTAGGGCCACAGAAGCCCACTGAGGTGTCTCCCCATTACCATGATGCCTACATGAATGAGGCCAACCCAGCCAGGTGACAACTGAATCGGTTTTCTTTTCTTTTTCGTTTTTATTGGTACCAGGGATTGAACTCAGACTGCACACTTGCAAGGCAGGCGCTTATGCCACTGAGCTAAATCCCCAGCCGACAACTGAATCTGAACGCCCAGCCTCCACCTTCACGTTCACACCTTAGCTCTGCAATTTAGATAAGCAACACAACCCAGATATCCACTTGCCCTTTTGTCAAGAGGATGTGTCCCAGTGTAGAAAGCTGCTAGAGGGGAGATGAGATGGGAGTAGGTCTACAGGGTCACAATCCTGAAAGACTGCAAGGCCCAGCCAGGAAACCTACAAACAAGTGCTGCCATACACAAGAGAAAAGGAAGAAAGTGTGGGAAATAAGGTCTCTGTGTTAAAGCCAACTCCTACCATACAGAAAAGTATTGCTACTTCTATTGAGACAAGGTCTTCATCAGTTACTAAGTTGCCCAGATGAGGCCGGAACTTGAGATCCTCCTGCCTCAGCCTCCTCACTAGCTAGGGTTACAGCCTGACTTGTGTCGTTCCTTCCTGATCAAAGTTGCAATCCAAGGGACTGGGAGTGTAGCTCAGTGGTAGACGATACAACAAACATGTGCAAGTCCCCTGAGCTCAATCCTCAACACTAAATTAAAATCACAACATCAATTTTATTTAAAATCTATCCACATTTAAGTAAGTCAAAAACTATGGAGTAGAGATGAGGATCCTAGTGAAACAATATGTTTGCATTCTCAGAGAGATGGATGTCTCAGCTCCTGTTTAGCTGTGGATCCATCACCCAATGTTCCCTGTCCTTGTTCCCTGCAAGGACAGGGACGCACCTTTGCACATATCGCTGATGCGCTCCTTGAAGACATTGTGGCCATGGCTGTCCACGTGGGTGCGCAGGAAGTTCTTGAAGCGGTGGTGGATCTCCAGCCGGGGGCCCGCCATGCTCACCCACTCACGCACAGTGTGGCCCTTGAGGTCCTCCAGGTTCTCGATGCTCTCAATCATCTCCTCATCCTCCTCGCCCACCTCTGTGGCCCGCTCCACCTGGCGGCGCTTGCGGCTGGGGCGATCCTCATCTTCCTCATCGCTGTCTGGGAGCATGAGCAAGGGACACCTGGAGTGAAGCCTCTCCTGGCATCCTTCACACCTCCCTATACCATTGCAGATGGCCACACTTACCATATAGGAGCCCCCGGCGCATGCGGCCCAGGCCTCGGCCAGCCTCTCGGTCGCGCTGTCTCATGACCCTCTCAGCCGCTTCCCTCTGACTGGCTGTCAGCTCCTCCACGTCCTCATCATCTAGTGCCAGCCCTTCAGCCTCATAGGTATCCAGCTCGGGGATGGCACGGTAGTCCCTGACAAGGGCCCAAAGAGATGCAGTTGGTCCCCAAACACCCACCCAGGAGCTGTGCCTGCTCCCCAAGGCTCCAGGAGCCACAATAGCCTGGCTAGGACTGGAGCCTCCAGGTCAGGACATAGAAGCTTCAAAACGGAAACCTAACCTTGTTCAATGGCAGAGCTTACTGCTCTGTGTTCCAGCATTAAGGCTCTATAATCTTTAATAAGCATTTATAGACATTTTAAACACTTGGTCTGGTAAAAATTAGACACAATCATTGTTTACTGACAGAATCTCAACCTTGACTCATCCAACCCACTCCTATGCAATCTTTCTTTGAGAAGTCTCAAAGTAGCACTCTTAGCTGCTTCCTTCCTTAATTGGCACCTCTTGTCAGGTCTCTTCAGGAGATCTCTGGGTCCCCTGGGATGCAAATATCATGGAGTAGTCAAAATTTAAGAGTTTAGTCTTTCTCATTTATATACAGCAAGTTAAGACAGATCTGCAATGTGGCTCACAACCCTATCTTTTGCAAATTCTGGTCCAAGCCACACTCATAAGACTGTCATCAGATTCACCTCCCCAGCATCCAAGGCTGGGCCATCAGGCACAGAGCACTTTCTGCAAAAGACTCCAGCAAAAATATACCTCTCCATGCCATCTCCAATCAGCTCTTCTCCATCTTCTTCTTCCTCCATGGGCCCTTCTGTACCTAGCAAGCCCTCAGACTCATCTTCAAAAGGAGGAAGGTCCCGACCAGGGCTGGAGGTCAGGGCGTCCGTGCGCCGGGAGCTTCGCCCAGGGCTGGAAGTGAGGGGGTCATTGCCTCGCTGCCTAGGGGCAGGACTGGACTCGGAAGATTCCTGTAAGGGAAGCAACGTCTGTCAAACACCTAGGAGAAGGTGGACGAGGTTTCACTTCGTTTTTACTCTTGGAGGACCTCCCCTGCCACCTACAGCAACTCTCTCCCGAAAAACATACCAAACCTCTCCAGTTTCAAGACCTTCAAGCTGCCACTTCCTCCCACGCAACTGCTCTAAGACCATGGGTCTGGTACACACAGGGCTCATTTCCTCAACACTCCGGTCACCCACAGGTCTCTGCATCTTGGTTATGAAAACTCTCTAAGGCCAGGTGGTTTCTCGACCTGTGCACCATTTATCCCTTCCCTTTCGGTGGGCACTCGATCACCTAAGCATCCATCGGGTGCCAGGTATTCCGGGTGCCAACAAAACGTAGGGCGTCTGGAATCCACAGGATGGCGGCACCCGACAGCAAACAAAATCGACAGACAAGGAAAAATCACAGGATGAGGTGAGGAAGATGCGAGACTTGGCCATGAGAACAGGTAGCGCCCAGGCCTAGGCAGGACGGAGTGATCGCGCGGCTACAAGGGAGGGAAGAAGCCGAGTACACTGGGGTGCCGTGAAAATCCCACGCTATGGGGCCGGGGGTTTAGCTCAGCGGTATAAGCGCCTGCCTTGCAAGTGTGTGGTCGTGAGTTCGATCCCCGGTACCGATAAAAAAAGAAAAAGACAAAAAAGAACCGAGCCTGAAGCACCCGCGCCCGACCCGGTTCGCGCCCTGCTGTCCCAGCCCGCTCGCTCGCTCACCGCCATAACTGCGCCGCTCTCCGCTCTGCTCCGGCAACAAGCAGTTTTCCCGCGAAAAGCCGCCCGCGTGACCTGTGCAAGCCCGGGAAACGCCGGGAGGGGTGCAACGTCATGACGTTGGCGTCGATTTGCGTCAGGCGCGGGGGTGTGTAAGGGTGGGTTAGAGGCCTGCCACGCCCATTGGACTGTAGGCCACGCCTACGGCCCTGGGGCGCAGGATCTTTCTTCTGCTCTTGTGCTGAGGTGTGGAGGGGGGTTGGTGCGAGTTAAGGCCAACACCTCACTGCGTGACGTTAACCCAGGCATAGCCAGACAACTGACGGACCAGACAACTGAGACCCAGAGCCTGGCTTTCTGAACGCTTCTTCCTGCTTCATGAGCAGTCTCAACTTTTCCCGAAACTCTTTAAGTGTCAAGCTATCTGGATTTTGCAGGAAGTCACCTCTGAGATTCAAGAGTGAATTATCCTTACCGAGAATGTTCCACAAAAAAAGACCTGTGGCAGGAGGGTTCCAAGTTCAAACCCTACCTGGCCACTTAGCAACTTAGCAAAAGCCTGTCTTAAAAAAAAAAGGCTGGGTGTAAAGGCCCTGGGTTCAATACTCAGTACTGAAGAACAAAAGAGCAAACAAAACTCAAGGGTGCAGAGGTATGGGGAGTAGAGGACCGTTTGGGAGCGTGGGAGCCATTCTGTAGTTCTGGCAAACAGCTTGGGATGTCAGGATGGGCGACACTGGCACTGAGGAGCTCAGATCACCAGAGGTTTGGATGTGTTCTGGGGAGGGTACAACAGTGCCTGTCTTAAATCCTCTTGCTTCCCCCCAGGAAGGAGGGCTGAGACCCTAGAGGTGGATGGGTCTTCCTCCTGTCCAGGAGTTCCCAGGAAGCGCTGGCTGGCCAGGAAAAGAGATGCTCAGGAGGTGGAGTCCATAGTACCCCGTGCTTGGAGACAGTAAAAGAGAGGAACCAGGCTTGGGTCGGTGGGATGCTGGTACCACCGTTGAGATGGGGATGCAGAAGAATTTGGGAATCAGAGGATGAGTTTGTTTCTGGCTGAGTGGAAGGGTCCAGGAGGCCCTGGGATGCTCACACCTGGAACTTGAGAGGGCATCTGGGCCCAGCTGTGATTACTTCAGGGGTGGTTAGAGAAATCTCCTCCTTACACACTCTAAGTCACTTATATCACTCTGCTTTCTTTTTTCTTTCCTTTTAAAATTGTTTTTTAAGCCAGGGTCTCACTATGTAGCTCAGGCTAGCCTTGAATTTGCAGTGAACCTTTTGCCTCAGTCTTCCAAGGGCTGGTGTTACAGCCATGAACCACTATGTCTGGTCACTTTACTTCATGAAACATCACTGTGGTTTTATACAGTGGAGTATTACTCAGCTATAAAGAAGGATATGCTTGAGGTTTTTATGGGTAATTGGATGCAACTTGAGACCATATTCACAAGTGAAATAAATCAGACTCGCATGTGTAAATATCATATTGTCTCCTCAATAAAAAAAAGTAAATAAGATCCAAAATGTACAATAAATATTATGAAAGAGAAAGGAAAAGAAACTGCTCAAAAGGAACAGCTGGGATAGTATTGGGAACCCGGCCAAGAGTCCTGATTGTCAGTGTCAGGAACCTAGTCAAGAATCCCAGTACTCAAAAGTCTCTGGACCCAATGAGCCCCTACTCCCAAAGCAGCCACTATTTATTTAGCAGTATCCAGTCATAAGTGGGGCTGGCAAAAGGATTACAATTCATCCTACTCCAGAGGGCATAATCTTATATGAAGTACTTTGACTGGAGTATAATCCTGTGATGATTTAAGAAGGCGTAGATGATCTTATGCTTGGAAGAGTCAATGGGAAATCCCAGATGGGTGGTATCAACAATCCCAATCCTACCTTTCATCCCAGGGAAATACACAAAACCAGGAAATTTGAGATCCCCAACAGAATAGGGGAAAGGAGAAAAGAAAGAAGGGAAAAGACTTTATATACACACACATATATGGTAGATAACTATACTACTAACCTCTGTTCATCAAAAAGAACAGTTTGTGCTTTCATTGTCCAATGGTTTGAACATTTTTTCACGTCTATATCTTGTAATCTGAACAACTACTTTGAAGATAACTACGCAATACGTTAACCAGTGTTAATCTCCTATTATTTTGTTTTGAATTCCATATCATCATTTTCATTATTTTTGTTTTAAAAAATCTCTGTGGTTTACAACCAAGGTGTCCTGTAGAGCCCAGTTCATGAGAGGTAGCTCTGGCTTCATTGTCACCTCCTATCCTCTGCTCACCTTTGCCAGCATTTGGTAGCCTGGCAGGCTGCTTTCTGAGCTGTGCATGGTTCTCCACTGCAGACACCTTAGTTCACAACCTGGGGTCTACCCTGTAGTTTTTGCACCAGGGACTGTCATAAGTATCATACAGCATTTTCCCACCATGCACCTCCAACATCATGGGCCCCGTGGCCATGAGGATAGCCCTTTCTTGCCGTAGGCTTGACTCCAAGCTGGAGGCCTTTGTTACCCAGGATGGTCAGGTCATAGCAGCCCGTACAAGTATGGAAAGTGCTGTCTCTAGATCCCAAAGAGGTCCACAAGCACTGCACTTACTTTTTGGTGACCGAGTGTGTCCTTTCTTTTGCTGAGGGTGGTACCCGATATGCCCCAGACTGATAGGCTCCTTGAGTACTATCCATACAGCACCATAATGGGGTTTATTTTTATTTTCTGTGGGTATTAGGATTCAAACTCAGGACCTCAAGTTTGCCAGGCAGGGGCTTATGCTGCTGAGCTAAATCCCCGTCCCTATTTAGGTCTTTTATGAGGGAGGGTTTCACTATATAGTTCAGGCTGGCCTTGAGCTCACTTTGTAGCACAGGCTGGCCTTGAACTCAGTGATCCTCCTGCCTCAGCTCGAGTGTTGGGATTACAGGTGTGTACCACCACACCTAGTTTGTTTTGTGATTTTTGAATTTCGTAGTAGTAGGGATTAAGGGCCTCAACATCTGCTCTACCACTGAAACATCCTGACACTTTATTTTGAGACAGGTCTGACTAAACTGTCCTCTGGCCTTGAACTTGCAATCTTCCTGACTCAGCCTCCTAAGTAACTGGGATTACAAGAGTGGGTCACCATATCCATCTGTGATACTGTTTTTTTACTATTTCTGCTGGGTGGAGATAGTTATGTTGATGTTTTGGGGGCTTTCACTTGATTTTGGCCACTATGAAAATTCCCATCGTGCAGATCAAGTAACCGGTGTGGCTCTCACTCCTGAGTGTGTCCCTCCCTGTGACACAGGCTTCCTGGTCCTATGGAGATTGAACCCATCTGACTTTTACTTGGCCTGTAGCATTTGGGATTGCTGTCCTCCCCTATGCCATTAGGGGGCACCATTCTGCAACAGCAGCAACATCTGTCAGCTGTACAGAGCATGCAACCCTCCTGCTTGGTGTCAGCAGGAACAGCACCTGAGAATCAGGTGTTTATTAAACTACCATTTGTTGAACTTTGTGGATGCCACACTACCTATGCTCTCAGACCTCCTCCCTACAAGAAGCCTGTACTGAGAGAGAGACAGAGAGAGAGAGAGAGAGAGAGAGAGAGAAAGAAACAGAGAGATCGCCCTAGAGAGAAAGGGTCTCCCTGTGTAGTTGAGACTGGCCTTGAACTCACAGTGATCTATCTGCCTCTGCCTCCCCAGTGCTGGGACTAGAGCCTTGTGTCACCATGCCTGGCTCAGAAGCCAGTACTCTTACTTTTTCCCCCCAAATTGATGCCTTTGCTTCTATTTACATGTCTTATATGCAATATATAACCAAACATAATACTATAGTACTGTACAGTACAATCAGCAAAAATTACAGTACTGTATAAAAGAACTGAGGCTTTATAAATAAAATATGTCAAACTGTTAAAAAGGCAGAAGCCAGTCATGGAGGCTCACCCCTGTAATCCCAGTGCTTGGAAGGCTGAGGCAGAAGAATCATTGTGAGTTCGAGACCAGCCTGGGCTACCAAGTGAGTTCAAGGCCAGCCTGAACTGCATAGTGAGACCTTGTCTCAAAAAGAAGAAGAAAAAAAAAAAAAAGACTAAATAAATAAATAAAAAGTTGGGGCTGGGGATTTAGCTCAGCGGCATAAGCACCTGCCTTGCAAGCAGGCAGTTGTGAGTTCGATTCCTGGTACCAATAAAAACAAAAAAGACAAAAAAAAAATTAAAATAAATAAATAAATAAATAAAAAGTCAGGCCATGAGCCGGAGTGGCAGCTGTAAGTCTGAACAGTGTGCCTCAGTTGAAATTTTAAACAGTCCTTAAACAGGTGGTTACAAGGGGAGTATATGTATTATATTCCATCTTTTGAATACTATACTTTCAGTGGTCTGAAAAACAAGACAAAGACATATGAAACATCAGCCCACAACAATAACAAATCATGCAACAGAAAAGAATTCCAATACACAGTGTCATACCCAGAAAAATGGGAACTTCCCCCCAGGTTGTTCCAGAGAAACAGGACACTAGCCAGTCATTAAAACTAGCATCAGAATCTGACATTGCACTGACTATAGTGACTAAATATCTTGAAATGCAGAAGAAATATTGCAGAATTGTCAGGAATGTACACACAACATCCTGTTTTTTTGTTTGTTTTGGGTACTGGGAATCAACTCATGAGCTTGCACTTCTCAGGCAGGCACTTATGCCTGCTAAACTATGTCGCCAGCCGCACTATTGCTTTTGTCATTTAATAGAATACATAAGAAGATAATGCATAAGAAAGGTGGTCATTAGGCCTGGTCACAGAAACCCTCCTTCCTTATGCCTGGTAGGGGTGGTTTCCTCCCTGCAGGCTAGAAGCAGCTTAGGATTCCTGTTTTGTTTTTTGTTATTCGTTTTGTTTTGCTCAGTATAGGGGAGCGGCAGGTGTGTACTTGTTGGCAGGCACTCAGGCCTGTGCTGACTCTGTGGTTTGGTCATCAGTGACCTCAATAGCAGGCTTGCCCAGAGTCTCCAGCAAACGCTGAAGTAGTAGACTCTGCACGCCAGATGAGCTCCAGCCCCGGAGGCCCTGGGAGTACCAAGTTCTAATGGTCACTCTAGTCTCCTTTCGCCTGACCCCCCCTAGCCTAAACACTGAGATAGAAGAGAGCTCCCTCCCGCCAGCCCACCTGTGCCTTCCCTAGCACCTGCCTTGGGTGACTTCATAACCAAGAATCTGCACTCTGCACCAGACACAGAGCCAGCCTAGGCTCTGCCCTGGTGACAATGACATGGCTGGGCTGCCCGGACGAGGGGGCGGGTACCAGCCAGTGTAAAGTCAGAGAGGCTGCCCACCGGGTCCAGAGAGGGTGTCAGAAAGATTACTTCGAGAATGTGACAGGGATACACAGACGCAGAGACCCAGAGACAGAAACGGATACAGAATGGGTCGATGAGGAGACAGGCAGAAGCAGAATCCAGAGACGGACAATCCTGGAAGGCTTTCAGGAGGAAAGGGCCTCAGACACTGCAGTCAAGAGATGGGGAGGCGCTGGGTCCCTTCTTAGCTGTTATTTAACTACTCGGAGTCTCAGGTTCCTCCCTGTAAAATGCGACTCCTAGTGCAAGACTTGGGTGAATGGGTGTCACTCTGCGTGCCCCCATCAGCACCTTCCTGGCAGCTAGGCAGTGCATGTGGAGGAAGGGCCACCCAACCCAGCCCAGGCGACCAGAGGTTCCAGAGACAGCAAGCAAGGGCAGTCCCCAGAGGCCCCGCCTCGGACCGCCCGCAGAAGTCTTTGCTGATCGCCGGCGGCAGCGATCGCGGCTGCTCACAGTTGCATGCCTTTGGAAGACGCGCGGGCGGAGTTAAGGCACCCTCTGCTAGCCAGTCCGCGACGGAGGCCACTTTCCGGGTGAGAAACGCACAGCTCCGAGTCCCGGAGTTGTTTCTTTAAGAGGTCAGCGGAACGCCCCGCCTCTTGGGGGTCCTGATTGGCCTCTTCCGAGTTTTTCAGCGGGGGTCTATTTCTATAGGCTACCGAGGACGGGGGGGCGGGCCTCACTAGCTTCAGCAGGGACAGTGGCTGTTATTCTAGTTTTGGCTGGACGAAAAAGAAGGTGTAGTCTCCTGGGTCGCCGCGGCCGTGAAAGAGGGCGGCACTGTAGCATCGGGATTGGCGGACTCCTCGCGCTGGCCACATCTTACCTACTCGTCCCCTCCTCTTTCCGCGCAGCCAGCCTCCACGCCTCTTGCGCGACGTTCCCCGGCCCCGCGGCTGACCCGGCCAGGGGCAGAGTACTGCGGCCTGCGCGGTTCCCGCGACCCGGGTCCATCCGGGAGCCAGGCTGAGCGCACCGGGCTCCCAGGTAAGGAGGAGATGACCCTTGCCCTGAGTCTGCCACGGTGGACGCCTCCCCGCCTCTCTGCGTCTTTCCCACGCATGTCTCTTCCCACTTCCGCGGGGGACAGCCTTGGTCCCAGGGGTTCCGGGGACTCGCGGGAAGAGGATTGGGGTGACAGGCATCCCCGGGACTCGGGGACAGGGAGGGCTGGGGAGGCGACTGTGGGCCCCTGTGGCCAGTGGGCATGTGCTGGAAGATTCTGGGGTCCCTGTGCACAACAGGGGTGGCACGAGCCCCAATATCCTCTGATACTGGGGTACCCGGGATCTTGCTGCCGCCCACACGGGCCCTGCGCAAGCAGAGACCACTGGTGCCCGGCTGCTTGTTACTTGTCCACCTGTCCCCTTGTCCCCTGCGCTGAACACCGACTTTGCCAGCGCTGTGCTAGGGAACTGGGTCACGAGCCAGGTCAGGACATGCTGGCGACAGACAGTAAACACCTCCAGGGCAGACTGGAGACACAGGTGGGCTGGCCAGGTGTCACCAAAGAGGCCGAAGCAGTGGTGACAGGGGCTGGGGATTTAGCTCAGCGGCATAAGCACCTGCCTTGCAAGCAGGCGGTCATGAGTTCGATCCCCGGTACCGATAAAAACGAAAAAGACAAAAAAAAAAAAAAAAAAAAAGCTGGGCCTGGATGAGGAGCCCGAGCAGGGGACAGCTTTCATTACCATGCCAGAGTGGAGGGAAGAGTCTCCGAGAAGCCAGCAGGGCCTGTCCAGTCTCATTGGGCCTCACCTTCTTCCTGGTGGCTCCTGCCTGGGGTGTGTGTGTGTGGAGGGAAGAGTCTCCGAGAAGCCAGCAGGGCCTGTCCAGTCTCATTGGGCCTCACCTTCTTCCTGGTGGCTCCTGCCTGGGGTGTGTGTGTGTGTGTGTGGGGTCCCTCTCTAGGACAGTGTCTGCCTTCCTGTTCCCAAGGCTGGAGGATAATGGGGCAGCAGAACTGGCCTCTTTGCTGTGGTTTGGATGCAGGATTTGAAAGCACTACATCCCTGTGGTGGTGGGAAGAGTCGGGAACACTACAGGGCTTCACTTCTGCGGACCCCAGTTGCTCTGGGCAGCAAAAGCTGGGTGCAGAGAGGGCATGGCCCTGGGGGGTGGGTCTGCAGTGTGAGGGTGGGCTGGAAGACGGCCCCTGAAATGCTAATGAACAGGACACTCCCCCCTCTAGTGGGAAAGAGCCATTCCTCTCTGTGCCTGTGGTCACTTGCCAGGCCTGCAGTGGCCGCAGGGTACTCTGTGTCCCTAGCTCCTCCACTGTGAATGCCCCCTCCCTTGTGGCCCCACTCCTTCCTTTCCCGATTTCCTTCCCCTTTCTCCACAGCCACCAGCCCCTCTCCTCTTAGGGACATCTGTCCCCAAGGCCAGGAGCTCACCAAGGGGAGAGTCCAGAGCACCAGGCAGGGGGAAGTGAATGTAGATGCTCCTGGGCCAACTGTCTAACAGTTCCAGGTGGAGAAGGCTGGGACACACTCTTTGTGTGTCTCCTTTTCCCTCTTTATGGGAGGATGGAGTCCCTCTGGCTTACAGCCTGGACACCTGTCATCAGGTGTAAAGCACCTTACACTGATCCTGACCATAGGAAATGTGCATCACAAAAAATGTTGATTTTTTAAGAAAAAGTATTGGTATATAGTCCAGGCTGGCCTTGAACTCACAGCAGTCCTCCTGCCTCAGCCTCCTGAGTGCTGGAATTACTGGTGTGGGCCACCACACCAAGCTTGTTGTATTTTTCTTAAAGAAGCATAGAGGGATTTATTAGGTAGAAATTTAAAAGAAATAGAAATGCAAGTGCTGGTCTTCAAGAGAAAGAGGCACATTACAGTATTTTCTGGAACTAGAACCATTTATATTTCCTTTGAGAGTAGAATTTGAGTCTGTAGGAAATTTCTCTTGGGTTTTGGTTTATGAGAAAAATATGGCCCACCCATAGGAAGATAACAGCCCATTCATTGGGAAGGATCTAATTTACCGGTTAAAAGGGGTGGTCTGTTTACAATTGAAGCAACTCTCCTGCTTCAGCCTCCCTACTGCTGGGATTATAGGTGTATACCAGGGTACTTTGCTTATTGACTGGTCCTACGTGACTCAGGAGATCGCCTTAGGGAAAGCAGTCAGCACCCTCCTTCTGTCTTTACCCCACAGCATTTGGACCCAGCAATGGAACCTTTTCTGTTCCTCCCAAGTTCTTCCCCTGGTAAGAAAAGGAGCAGTTACCCTGAGTGTATGTTAGTGGTGTAGACACTGACTTAGCTGGTTTTGTTTGATCCTCATAGCGACCTTGCTAGGTAGGTATTATCCTTCCTGTCGCACTCAAGCAGGGCAGTGAGTGATTCATCCAAGGTCACCCAGCAAGCACGCGGCAAAGCCAGAAGTGCCACCCATGTTGGAGGATGCCATAGCCTGGGAAGCCAGAAACTTTTGGAGAAATGGGAATTTGTGGGATTTTATAGCTGAAAAGGCCAAGTGTGGCTGTATCCTGGGGCTCAAGTGAGCTCTTCACAGCCCTGTCGTCATCTGTCTCTCAGCTCAGTGTACCTCTGTGTTGGCTTTATTCTCAAGCGGGTCCCCAACTAGGGAACTAAAGTGATCCCCCTCTCACTGACATCTCAGTGGGAAGTTTCCCGATGGATGGTGAAAGTCCGTCTCCGGGCTGGGGATTTAGATCAGTGGCATAAGCGCCTGCCTTGCAAGCAGGCAGTCATGAGTTCGATCCCTGGTACCCATAAAAAGGAAAAAGACAAAAAAAAAAAAAAAAAAAAAGAAAGAAAGAAAGTCAGTCTCAGGGGCAGATTCTCATTGGCCAGGGCCATAGTCTGTCCTGATTGGCCAAGCTTAGGTCACAAGCACATCTCTGGTTGTGTAGGAGGGAGCTAGCCATACCTGCCTCATAGGCAGAGAGAGAACTGGACTTCCCTTGAGGAAGCAGGGTTTTCCTGCTGACTCCCCTCCGCTTTGTCCTGTTACTGCCACTGGCTCAAGCCACTGTCCCCTCTTGGGGCACTGTTGCCGTATCTTCTCAAGGTCTCTTTTCTCCTGTTCTGCATTCTCTGGTCTCTCTCCCCAGAATGCTCTTTGTTCAGCTTTCGCCATGGCTGGGACTTTCTCAGCTGTTTAGATCTCAGTTCCGGTGTCACCTGTTTACCGCCCACTCCAAAGCAGTGTCTTCATAGTCCTTGAGGTTCAAGTGTGGCCCCTGAAACAAGGCCAACATAAGAAAAGATAACTCTTGTCTGTGGCCTAGCAGTCTGTGCGGGCAGCCCAGGACAGGTGTGAAGGGACCCCATGCAGCTCCTTCTTGTGGATTTATACTCCTCAATGCAGGTGTCCAATCTTGTGGTCTAATGTGGCTGCACTTGCTCCCACCATCACATGCATATTCTAGCCAGTGGAACTGGCAAGCCTCATTCTTTGCTCAAGTTCAGTTGTACAGATCTGAGCCACATGGCCACACCCAGCTGCGGGAAAAGCCCCACTGTTCTGGGAAGCCTTGAGCTATGGTGCATCTGCTGCTGAGGGGGAGGGTGAAGTCAGCCCACCCAGTTAGGTCCTTCCTGCCAGAGCTGACGCTAGCATCTCATGGTTCAGGCACATAGAAAGGACGTCCCTGGGTTCCCTCCCCCACTGCTGACTTCAGGTCAGTGTCAGTGACACACAAGCAGTGCTCCCTGGGCATCTCGAAGGTCATGCTGCAGTGAGGCCTTGACTTGTCATTAAGACAGTGTGTTTAATTTCTAGAATTCACCAAAGCCAGGAATGATGGCATGCACCTCTGGAGACTGAGGCAGGAGATTCACGAGTTCAAGCCCAACAGGGCAGAGCCATTAAGGGGACCCTGTCTAAAAGTATAAAAAGGGTTCAGGATGCAAAGGCCCTGGGGTCAATCCCCAGTACTGCAGAAATATTCTCAAGTATACTAGTGATGTAGGAGCCTAGGTGCTGTCCAAGCGCTTCAATGCAGTGAGCAGTTCCACGCCTGCTGCCCTGTGTCTGTGGAAGCCTGTTGTCCTTAGGGATCCTACTGCCCCTGGCCTAGCGCTTTCCTGGCACCTGTCTGGGCTGCAATCTTCTCTTGCCTGCCATCTGGTGGCCAGCCTTGGGAATGTGCTGCGGTTTCTGGGCTGTGCTGTAGGACTGGAGACCTAGTCACCCTGCCACTGTGTCAGGCCAGCACTACAGGCATCCACACCCCCAGATCCTGGCCCAGCTCGAGGGCCCTGGATTCCTGGACACTGGCCAAGTCTGCTCCTTTCCCCTGAGTGTCCCTTGATCCGTGAGTCCGTGTCCCAGTCTTCCTCTTACTTCACCCTGCCCCCTCGCCCCAGGTGGTCCTTAGGGCCCTAAGCTGGACTGTTGGATTTTCATGGTCAGATCGCCCTGTGGGCACCTGGCCTGTGACAGCTCCCCTGGCCCCTCGGCCGTGCTTCTGCCTCTCCACACCTGTCTCTATTTGGAGACCTCCCATGTGTCCCCTGGCCCAGCCCTAAGTCCCCTGGGTGGTGATCATCACCAGCCCTTAGCTGCTGTGTGGCCTCCAAGGGTTGGAGGGGTCTTGTGGTCAGTTCTGCATGATGTGGCAGGCAGGGGAACTGAGGTACGGGGGTGTCAGGATGTCAGGGGCAGACCTGGGTTCCAAAGCTATAGCCCGTGTTCTGGACCTGTCTGCCGCCACCTGTCTGTCCCTAGCCTCTTAGGACCAAATGGGGTGAGACAGGGTGATGCTGAGTAGCTGGTGTTGCTGTACCTGGCACTTGGGAATGCTCAGATGGACAGTGGCCTGTGTCATTTGAGGTGTATGCAGTGGAGCCTGTGACAGGGACAGTGCCCCTGCCCAGAGGGTTGGGAACCCCCACCTGGCCTCCCTCCAGAGCTGGGCCCCAACCTGGGGTCCTGGGGGCAGGGATAGGTTCACCAGTGCTATCTGGCCTGGTTTTCCCCAGGGTCCCAAGACCCAAATGCTACTAACCGTGGAGCTTTTGACACCCCAGGACTGGCTCCCGGTAGGATGGACACTCTGGAGTGGGCGATGTGGCCCAACAAGAGCACTCCAGTGCCCCCGCCCCAGGCGCCAAACATCAGTGTGCCACACCGTTGCCTGCTTCTGCTGTATGAGGACATTGGCAACTCCAGGTGAGGGTACTGTCTGCGCAGGGGTGGCTCAGCTGTGTGGCATGGGCTTGCTGGGCCCGTTGAGGGGCGCAGGCAGCAGGGACTGGCCAGTGAGCCCACTTCTGTGCTGCTGCCAGGGTCCGGTACTGGGACCTCCTGCTGCTCATCCCCAACGTGCTCTTCTTCGTCTTTCTGCTCTGGAAGCTCCCGTTTGCTCGGGCCAAGATCCGCCTCACCTCCAGCCCCATCTTCATCACCTTCTACATCCTGGTGAGTCTGCTCTGCCTCCAGCGACTCCCCTTAGACAGAAAGGGGAAGTAACTGCTGCCGTGGCCCAGCCCCAGCTCAGGCGTGGCTCTCTCTGCCTCTGTGGCCTGAGCTCAGTGAGCTGTTCCGTGTGGACACAAAGATGGCCATGAGCAGCTCGGAGCTGAGGTCTCCTCCAGAGCCCCTCTTTCCTGGAGTTTCCGCAGACCCACGTTCACAGCCAGCCTGTGGCCAGCGAGGGGAGAGGGAGCAGAGCAGGAGAGGGGCTCAGCTGGGCCCAGACCGAGGAGACCAAGCGAGGCAGGTGTCTCTAGAGACAACGGGGTGGTTCAAGAGGGAAGGGAATGGATGCGGGGCGAGGAGACTTTGCAGTTGTGTTGTCACCCATCATCGGACTGTCTGTTCCTCTATCCTTCCTGGGAGACCTCCCGGGGCAGACTTGTCTCCACAGAGAGAGAGAGCATGACTTCTCATTATGTGGTTGTACTGTGCATGGGACAGGTCCAGATTGCGAAGCTACCTCCAGGTGCAGGCTACCAGGTGCAGGGCTGCCTGGCTCCCTCCCTCCAGGTTGTGATCCTGCAGGGTCTTCTCTGCTCTGAGATCCTTAAATGAACTTAGATGTCAACACCTGACTGGCTCCATGGTTCCCTGTATATGGCTCAGGCAGGGGCAGGCAAGGGCTGGGAGCCCTCAGGTGTTTCTGGAAGTCCCAGCCCTGGGCAGTTGCTGCCCTCCTGGCTCTAAGAGGGCAAGGACTAAGGGACCTCAGGCCTGCTTTCTTTTCTGCCTCTCCCACAGCCTTCTGACCATTTACTCCTTGTGTATTGGTTCAGTAAATAACTAAGCACCTACTACATGCCAGGCAGACGTCCTGCTTGCAGGAGAGGGCAAATCCACGGCACATACCCAGGGCAGGGCAGTCTGCACTCTTGGTCTGCTTTCTTTTGGGGGCTTTTGGCTACAGAGCCTGGGAGACAGTGGGGAGAGGACTGTGAGCCCGGGCTGTGCAGCTGTGTGACCCTGGCTAGCAGCTTGTCCCTCTGTGTCCTCCTGGGTCATGTGCGACCCACGTCTTCATGAGCACCAATGGAGACCTCCCATCAGGTGCAGGTGGCAGTGTTAACCTTTGCAGCCTGCCCTCTGCACGGGATCAGCATGGTAGTTTGCAGGGCACACTTCTGCTACACTCACCTCACGAGGCTCTCAGCAACCAAAGGAAACAGGTGCTGTTTTTACCCTTACTTTATTTATTTTTATTTTAATTTTTTGTGCCGGGGATTGAACTCATGACCATGTGCTTGCAAGGCAGGTGCGTATGCCACTGAGAGAAATCCCCAGCTACCCTTACTTTAGGGATGGGGAAGTTGAGGCATAGAGAGGCTGTCTGAGGTCACAGTGGGGAAGCGGTCTGTCTGTTACCAGGGGTGGTAACTAACCATGGAGGCCAGGAAGTTGGGTTGTGGGGCAGAAGCAGCTGTGAGACCAGTGCAGTGGGAGTCTCGTGCTACCTGAAGCCACTGCCAGCCTCCCTGCCTCCCACTCTGACTGGTCACCTCCTGCCTTGCCTGTGGTAGCAGAGCTCCTATAGAGTGGTTAAACTTGCTGGCCCACCCCCACCCAGGCCTTCAGCTCCCTGACCCCCACCTGTCCCCTCCCTCCCCACAGGTGTTTGTGGTGGCCCTGGTGGGCATCGCCCGGGCTGTGGTATCCATGACAGTCAGCACCTCCAGTGCTGCAACAGTGGCTGACAAGGTGTGTCTGGGCCTGCCCTCAAGGGATGGTGGGAGGCCGGCCTGGGGCAAGTGGACCTCAGGCTGACGGCGCCCATCTGTCTAGATCCTGTGGGAGATTACCCGCTTCTTCCTCCTGGCCATCGAGCTGAGTGTGGTCATCTTGGGCCTGGCCTTCGGTGCGTTGCCACAAGGCCTCCCCTGTCAAGGTGGGCTGACCTGACACCCTTACTGGGCTGTCTGCCCCTAGCTGAGCTGGGTCTCTTCCAGGTCACCTGGAAAGCAAGTCAAGCATCAAGTGGGTGCTGGCCATCACCACTGTGCTATCCCTGGCCTACTCAGTCACCCAGGTATGAGGATAGTGCCAGGTTGAAGTTCATCAGGCGCAGCTGGCAAACTGTTAGTTCACCAGGGCACCTATCCCCAGGGAGGTTCTGGGGCTCCCACTGGTGATCCTGACCCAGGGCATACAGCTGTGAGAGGGGGAGGTGCAAACCTGCCAGTTACCTGCAGCCAAAGTAGCAAAGCCAGAGGTGTGCAGACCCGGGGGAAAGCTTCGGATATGAAGGCTGAGGGCTGCACCTCACCCCTTGCTGCCCTTTGCTCAACACGGGCCTGTTCTGGGTGCTGGGGTTCGGTGCCCAGGACAGCAGGCTGGAGTGGGTGTGGCAAGATGGAGGCCCGGAGGGGCACTGCATCAGAGAAGGCCTTCCTCCTGCAGGGCACCCTGGAGATCCTGTACCCTGATGCCCACCTGTCTGCCAAGGACTTCAACATCTACGGACATGGGGGCCGCCACTTCTGGCTGATCAGCTCCTGCTTCTTTTTCCTAGTGAGGGCCAGGCCGGGGCTGGGGACAAGGAGGGGCAGTCTTGCTCTAGCCCCGGGCTCTATGCCCTTAGCCTTGTCCTCTCTCCGCAGGTCTACTCGTTGGTGGTGGTCCTGCCCAAGACCCCGTTGAAGGAGCGCATCTCCCTGCCTTGTGAGCTGGAGCCTGGGAGTGGGGGGAATGGGTTTGAAGTTGCGAGAGTGGGGTGGGGAGGCGGGGGGCGGAGCCTGGCCAGTTAGGCAGGGCCTCAGACCACACCCCACGCCATCCCCACAGCACGGAGGAGCTTCTACGTGTACGCGGGTATCCTGGCGCTGCTCAACCTGTTGCAGGGGCTGGGCAGCGCGCTGCTGTGCGCGGGCATCATCGAGGGGCTCTGGTAGGCACTTGCGGGGGGGGGGGCGGGGGAGGGGGGCGGAGGCGTGGTTGGAGATGCGGCCCGGCGTGGGGGCGTGGCCAGGGGGAGGCGTGGCTGGGCGGGGGGAAGGAGAAGGCTTAACCCACAGCCTAACTGTCCATCGCGTCGCCCTCACAGCTGTGTGGACGCCACCACCTTCCTCTACTTCAGCTTCTTCGCACCGCTTATCTACGTGGCCTTTCTGCGCAGCTTCTTCGGGTGAGTCCACCGAAACCTGCAAGCCTCACTGCTCACCGCCCCGGGTTTGAGCACTGCACACGCCCCCGTGTGGCCATTGGCGGGACTGTAACTTGTGTGCACCTGCTTGCGCGGCTGTACTTGCGCATCTATCTCTGTCTATACCACGCATCTGCACAGACTCTCCACACCGTGAAGAAGTATGCACGGACAAGCATATGTTGCCACATGAGAGCATGACTGGAAGGACTGCCACCCCCTGTGTAACACACTAATCCATCGCAGGGAGGATGGGTTGCGCACCCAGGGTGTGCACACACGCCAGGTTCCACACAACCCCAGCTTCCCCAGAGCCCAGCAGGGAGGTGCAGGCCGGGTGTGCATGCACCATGGGGAAAGGGACATGCAAGTGGAAGTTGTGCAAGGGCTGGGCAGGGGAGCTGCAGACTCGGGGATCCAGCGTCTCTTCTGTTGGTGTGGTGGATCAGGGTGTGGGGTTTAGAGGCCGTTGGGTGGACCTGGGGGATTGCAGGAGAGATGGGAATAGGGTCTAAACTGGATCCTACAAACTATTTCACTCCCCAGTCTCTGGCTCCTGTTTGTAGCCGGGAACAGCCCCCTCAAATCCATCTGAACACTGAGGGACCAGGGAAGGACCAGGGAAGGCCAAGTGGGCAGGGTCCAGGGAGCAGGGCTTGGCCCCAGCTTGGGTTTCTGCAGATTTCCTGTTTCAGAGCTTCCTGCCCCGGCTCCCAGGGCCCTAGCAAGGGCTGGGTTCATGGCCAGGCTTGCTGAACTCAAGCATGAGGGTTTGGACAGCTGTGAGCATGATTCCTTGAGACCCACAACCTCCTGACTGTCCCTCATTCCCCTCTCTTTTGCCACCAGCTCAGAGCCCAAGATCCTCTTCTCCTATAAATGCCAAGTGGACGAGGCAGAGGAGCCGGACATGCACCTGCCCCAGCCCTATGCGGTGGCCCGGCGGGAAGGCATGGAGGCTGGAGGGGCAGCGAGCACGCAGTTTGACTCTGCAGGGGTTGCCTACCTAGACGACGTGGCTTCCATGCCCTGCCACGCTGGCAGCATCAACAGTACGGACAGTGAGCGCTGGAAGGCCATCAATGCCTGACGGGCTGTGGCTCAGCCTGGGGACCTATGGGAGACTTGGGGAGGTCAAGGCCAACCTCCCCAAGGTGGGGGACATGAGGGCTCCTGCACCCTAAGTCTGGAGGCTACTTCCTGTTGTCCCCCTGTGCTCCAGCTAGGGACTCCCTTGCCATCTGCCCTCGCCCTGCTCAGTGCCAGGCCCAGGTGCCATCTCCCAGGTCACAGCCTGGCACCCTGGAAGGCTCTGCTTGATCCCAGGGCACGGTGGCCTCCTTAGAGCCTGCTGCGGGAATGGGCTGCAGTGTATATATTTTCATGTTCTATTTTTTAATAAAAAAGGAAACAAGCCAGAGGTGTTGCTGTGGAGGTTTCGCAGCAATGCAGGGGCTGGTTGGGGTGGGGACCAGAGGATTGGGAGGTTGTCGGGGGCTGGGGAGTACAGGCCAGATGGGGAAAGAGAGTGTCCTGCCATTTGCAGGACCTGTGTTCCTCCTGCCATGTTAGCAGGGCTTAATGAGACACTGAGAGTCCTGTGCTTCCTCCCCTTCCCCTGCTCGGCCCCAGTTTTGCCCTCTATAATGTGGTAATAGGGCTCATTTTAGAGGTTTGGTGGTGCACCCCTCATCCCAGCACTCCGGAGGCAGAGGCAGGATAATCGCTGTGAGTTGGAGGCCAGTTTGGGCTACATAGTGAGATGCTGTCTCAAAAATAAAAAACAAGAAAACCTGTCTTGCAGGATTTATTGGGGTTTTTTTTGCCTTTTTTGAGACAGGGTCTTGCTATGCAGTTCAGGCTGGCCTTGAGCTCACTTTGTAGCCCAGTCTGGCTCCCAAGGCTGGGATTACAGGCATGCACCACCACACCTAGCTCTTGCAGGTTCTTGTAAGAACTGAAAATAGTTCAGAGGTCTGGCTTATGGGAAAGGCCCAGTAACGACAAAACAGTATTTTAACCTCCCGGTAATTTCTAGGCCTGCAGGAGGCACAGAGAGTGGGTATAGGAAGGCAGTCACAGCAGGAGTGTGCAGGTCACCGAAGGTGGGGAGTTGTAAATGTAGCCCTGGGGCCACCGAGTGGCTCCACAGCCAGCTGCTCTGGTTCTGGGCTGGGTTCTCAGACGGGACCTCTGGCCCAGTAGGTGGGTCTCAGGACAGACAGCAGCAGGGGGCTGAGTGGCATTTGTCTCACTGCCAGTCCTGGCCTAGGAAAGCACCAAGGGCCTCGACCTCACAGCAGCCTGTAGGCCAGGAACCATCATTTGGTGCTTCTTGGATGAGGGACAGTGCAGGCACAGGCCTGGCAGGGTGACCTAAGAGGTGGCTGTCCTGTGCCATTCCTGGGTTATCCATGCGTCCCCAGGAATCACCCTATAAGTGGCATCTGAGCCCGTTTCACATGCAGCCCCATCTGGGGTTCTCTGTGAGTCCTTGGGGGTCAGTGTGGAGGTGACCAGTTTGTACCAGCTGCACCAGGTGTGACAGGTATAGACTCCACCTGTTACCTGTCCCCATGGGCCCAGGCACAGGGTGCAAGGGCACAGTGGAGCTGTGAGTTACGGTTCCTGGTGCTTTAGTCAGATGACATCTGACTCTGCACCTGGCTCTGCAGGCCCTGGTGGTCACGCACACGCTCTACCTGTCTGCTTTCTGCAGACAGAAAGGTCACATTGCCCAGCCTGTGGCAGAGCGGGTTTCGACCCTTGCGTGGCGCTGTGACAAGGACCAAAAACACCTTCCTCACGGTGGAGGCTCTGAGCTGTTACGGGGCCAGGAGCTTCAGTCCCACCAGGCGCACAGGAGACCACAGAGTGCGCCCACGCCCAGTGTTTTCTTCCCTGTGTCTTTGGGGACAGAAACTCAACAGGACGTGAAGCCAAGCAGCATCCAACTGCCACAGTGAAGTGTGAAGCCACTCTGCCCGTGGCACTGCTGTTCCAGGAGGCTCTAGAGCAGAATCACTTCTTGGCTGGGCAAAGGCTTCAGGAAAGACCCCGCCTGAAGAGTGACCCCTGAAGGAGGAGACCAAACCCCAGCTCCCTGCACTTGAGCACCCACCCACTCGGCCTGGAATCCTGAGACTCAAAGACGGGTGTCTGAGGTCATCTGGTTTCAGTAGTGAACCCCGAAGGGGTGTCCAGAATGTCTCCTGCTGTGTTTCAAATCCTGACCTCATCATCCTCAGAAAGTGCAGTGAGTTTGGTGATACACGTGTGTAATTTCATCACTCTGGGAGGCTGAGGCAGGATGATCACAAGTTTAAGCCCAGCCTGGGCAATTTAGTGACTTACTGGGATCCTATCTCAAAATAAAAAATAAAAATGACTGGAAATGTAGCCCAGCACGATAGGTCTTGGGTTTCAAAGGATATTAAAACACCAGCACGAGCCTGCATGTGGTTTATCAAATTAACCATCAGGGTTTAAGTATTAGGAGGCATCATGCTAACACATGTGCATGCACACGCACACACACACACACACACACACACACACACACACACACAGAGTTTTGATTTCTCCCAAAACAAACCAAACGTCCCAGACTGCCCTGCCGCCAAGTCCTGATGGTCCCTGGCCTAGTTGCCCTGTGCCTGGAGCCCTGTACCCAATAGAGTGGCTACTTTTTCCTTTATGTTTTGTTGAGACAGGGTTTTGTTACACAGCCCAGGCTGACCTAATGATTGCAGTGATCCTCCCGCCATAGCTGAAAGCTGCCTGCTAGGAACAAGTATTATAGGCAGCTGAGTTAGATAAATATTAATAGCCAGAAAGGGGCTAGGCTTTCAAGGAATCTGGTGGGCAGCAGAGGGATCAGAGCAGGGTGAAAGTGCCCTTGAAGTAGGGGGAACTGGAGAGTAAAGTCACAGTGGTCAGAGGAGCGTACTTCCCTAAGGGGCGCTGGAAGTTTGAAATTACAGTGTAACTGGTACTGCCCGCTTGAGATTTTCCCTGGAAACAGATCAGTACCTCACTAGGGCTGGGCCATCCTCCTCACCCCTGGGCCATCAAGACTGAACCTGAGACTGAGCCTGAGACAGACCGAGTCTACTGAGACTGTAGATTAATATTGACCAGTCGTGTGCTCCTGCTATGAGCCCCGCTCCCCCATGGGCTCCATGCTAGCAAAGCAGCTATGTGATCTGACTGGTTGCTGATTTGATCCCCAGTGTACTCACCCCATGACTGCCCTATAAAAGCATTCTTGGTGAGACGACCTTGTTGGCAACCCACTCAGGATCCCTCCTGTCTCTCAGGAGCTGTTCTTACTCCCCAGGAAAACTTTTGACTCCCAACCTCCTTTGTCCTCTGGCTGGGAGTAATATTTCTCCTGCCTCGCAAGCATCCGCACCAAGACCTGTTACTCACAGAAGATGCAAGCAGCTTTGCAGCCTCGTGCTAAGGAAAATAGCTCCGTGTAAACACATTCCGGTCTCCACCTGACGGGAGCCGCTTCAGGGAGCCAGAGCATGGCTCTGTTCTTGCCACTGTAGGGAGCGGGGCCATTTTCTCCCTCTCTCATTCTTCCTGTGGAGTTCTTCCCCAGCAGAAGGAAGCGTGTGGGCTTCATGGCTAAATGCTGAAAGTTCATTTGGCACTCAGAGGTGGCAGGCAGTAGGTCCAACAGCTCCAAAGTTGGGCTCCAGGAAGATAAAGAGCTGGCTCAGACCTGGACCAGGGGACCTGGCCCCCTGCCTCTCAGGTGCTTGGGGGACTCAGGAAGGTAACTGTGTGCACCTCAGCCTGAGGAGGTGTGTAGGGCTGCCTTGTGAGGTAGACACCAATAGACCACAGCACCTTCAAAAAAAGGGGAGAGCTTGGTGTGGTGTTCCACACCTGTAATCTCAGCATTTGGGAGGCTGAGACAGAAGGATTGCCATGAGTTTAAGGCCAGCCTGGGCTACATATTTCAAGACCAGCCCAGAATACATAGCAAGACCTGGTCTCCAAATGAAAAAAAAAAGAAAAAAAAAGCCCCCAAATACATGTATAAAAGGAGCAAGAGATTGAGGTCATATGGTAGCAGTCCAGATTAGTGAATGGGGCTCCATAATGTTCCCCATGGCCCAGGTCCTCTACCTTTGTGCCCCATCCTTGGCAAGGTGTAGGTGGGCCTCTCAGTCCCAGGATAGTTGCAGCAGCTCCAGCCATCCCATTTTACTTTGTGCACTGCTGTAACTAGTCTCCCATTTCTGTGGGAGGACCTGTCCCAGAGCTACACTTAGTAACTCACTCCCACTTTCTTGGCCAACACTGGCTGACATGGTCACTCTATCTGCAGGACAGCCTGGAAAACATGGGGGTGTCCTTTTAGCTGTTGGAGGGGCTGAGTACACGCTGCTCCCAATAAATCAGCAAGCAGGTGAGAAAACAGGTGCCAGACACCTGACAGGCTTTGCTCTATGCCCTATGCCCTGCGGTAATGAATGATCAGGGAAGGAGCTGCTGGGGATGCACTACCCCACTGGCCACAATTCTGCCTTCTCCAGGTCACTTATGTAGGCTTTATTTATTGATGTATCTATTTATTTATAGACAGGGTCGTGCCATGAAATCCAAGCTGGTCTTGAGCTCACTATGTAGTTCAGGCTACCTTGAACTCAGTGATCCTTCTGCTTCAGCCTCCCGAGTGCTGGGATTACAGTGTGGGCCACCACGACCAGCTCTGATAGGTGTGGAAGCAATCAGTTTATGAATACAACATCACAGATACAGTTAAAATATCTGTGTGACCCATTTCTGCCTGGTTTCCTCTCTGACCCAGCAACAGGCAAACAGGATTCTTCTACATGTGGATTTTGTGTGGATCAATGCAGCAGTGCGTGTGTGTGTGTGTGTGTGTGTGTGTGTGCGCGCGCATCCATAGTCAGTGTCTCGGGTGCTCTGGAATTAACCGAATGAGCTCACAGCCTTCATCTGTGCATCTCTCTGCCTCCTCCTTCTGCTTCGGGCCTCGTCTGTGTTGACACTCGTAGCTGCTGTGCGGCACTCTGCTATGTAAATAGAGAATCATTTATTTGTCAGTTCTGTCAATTCAAGTTGTTTGCAAACTGGGACGACAAACGAGGTTCCCTTGTGCCTTCCTGTGTTTGATTTTCTCAAGTGCTCTCCAAGGAGCCAGGTGTGGCGGTGCACACCTGTAATCACAGCACTCTGGGAGGCTGAGGCAGGAGGATCCCAAGTGTAAGCTCAGCGTGGGGAACTTAATGACTCAGGGAGACCCTGTCTTAAAATGAAAAATGAAAAAGGGTTGAGGGTTAGCTCAGGGCCAAAGCTCTGGGTTCAGGCTTTTGTACTGCAAAGTAAAACAAACCTCTCCCTCCTGGATCATCGGAGAGCAACTGTCAGTATCACA